CCATGAGTTTGAGCCCAGTCTGGACAACATAGCAAAACACTGTCTCAAAAACAAAAACAAGAGAGACACCAATGGCTCACACCTATAATCCTAGTTACTCAGGATGATGAGATCCAGAGGATCTAAAAAGTTTGCCTAGACTCGATCTCCAAAATAGCCACAAGAAAAGAAAGCCTAGAGGCATAGCTCAAGTGGTACAGTGCCAACTGAGCAAGCAAGGCAAGGTACCTGAATTCAAACCCCAGTACCACAAAAAAGAAAGAAAGAAAATGCAATATCCATGTATTATCATTACTTTTACATCATTCATTACACTTGCCCATTAAGTTCATCCCAACAATCAATCCACAAAACAGCATAGCATTTAGTGATGTAAAGCTTGTTACTGATTGCCCTTTGGAAAAGAAGAATGTCTTACCTGCAGCAAAGGCATCAGCTGTAAACCCAGGGCTTGCTCATAGAGCAAGTTCAGTTCTGCACAACTGGAGAAGGAGAGTTTGGAGGTGTAGAGGTAATAGTGCACGTGCCTAAATGTGGAGCCATCTCTGTCGATGAAGAGCCGCTGGTTTTCTGAAGGAGACAAGGCTGATGCCTCTTTCCACAGCAGTGAGTCTGGGAACTGAGCAAGTTTGCTTCTTGGAACTGAGAAATGCCAGCCTCCAACATTGAAATGAAATAAATCCTCTGATGATTCATGGGACATGCCAGCCTCCTCCTAAAGGGAGAATGAAAAGAGAGCTCTGCAAGAAAAAAGAAATAGCAAGGCATGGTAGTGCAGGCCTATAACTGCTGCCGTGTGGGAGGTGGAGAAGGGAGAATCATGGTTTGTGGCAAAATGTGAGTGAAATCCTGGCCACCGCAAGCAAGAGCATTAGATATCAGGGGAAAAATATGCTAAAGCAAAACATGCTGGGGGGGGTTGCTCAAATGGTAGAGCACCTACTTCTTCAAGATCCCAAGTGCAAACCCCAGTGTGACAAACAAAAAAGAACAAAAAAGAAAAAAAGGAAGAAAAATGGAAAGTCCTGATTGGGAAGAAATGAGTAAACTATATTTGCCAATGACATAATCATGTATATAGAAAATTCGAAAAAGCTATTATGAGCCAGCAAGGTTGAAGGATACAGATTAGTATTTTTAATAAATAGTCTCCATTTTTATATATTAGCAAGGAAGAAAACAATTCCATTTATAAGAGCATCAAAATGAACAAACTACATAGGAATAAGCTTAACACAAGAGGTATAATACGTAGGTACTCTGACAACTTCAAACCATTGTTGAAAGACTTCACTTAGCTAGCAATACTGCAGCTATCCTACCATCCAAGCCACATCCCCAATGAGAGAATTTTTCATTTGTAAATATAATTTTGTTGTTCTTATTAAGGTGCTACACAGAGGGGTTACCATTTCAAATGTCAGGTAATGAGCGCATTTCTTTTTGGACAATGTCACCCCTTTCTTCACTTTTCCTCTTTCCCCTTCCTGTCCCTGCCTACAAGATACATAGTTCATTTTCCACATTGTGTCTACTGAGTCCCATGACTGCATCTGTTCACTCTATTTCCGTGCCCCTCTTCAAAAGACAGAAAAAAGAACAAACAAAACAAATTACGCCAAAAAACATATGGATTAGAAGAGTTAATATTGTTAAGATGACAATGCTCAGTTGGATGTAGTGGCTCATGCCTATAATCTTAATCAGGAGGCTTTGAGATCTGATAATTGCAGTTTGAAGTCAGCCAGGTAGGAAAGTCTCTGAGATGCTTATTTCTACTTAACCATCAAAAAAGCCAGAAGTGGGGTTGGGAAGGTAGCTCAGTGGTAGAGCGCTTGCCTTGCATGCATGAGGCCCTGGGTTCGATTCCTCAGCACCACATAAGCAAAAAGAAAAAAGCCAGAAGTGGTGCTGTGGCTCAAGTGGTAGAGCGCTTGCCTTGAGCTGAAGAGCTGAGGGACAGCGCCCAGGCCCAGAGTTCAAGCCCCACGACCGACAAAAAAAAAAAAAAAAAAAAAAGAAATCAAAAGACAAAAGCAATAATAGCAATAATCTACACTAATAATGGTAATACTTCCCAAATTTATAGACTTAACACAATCCCCATGAAAAGCCTAACAGTCCCTTCCCTCACTTTTTAAAACAAAACTTGGACAAACTGATACTAATTTTGTACAGAAACACAAGGGACCCAAGTAAACTAAAACAATTTTTTGAAAATTAAAATGAGGATTCCAACTTTCCACTCTCAATACTTACTGTAAAGCTAGATAATAACACTATTGGCATAAAGAAAGCCATATAAATAAGTGGAATAGAGATGAAGTCCGGAAATAAATCCTTACTTTTTGTTTAATTGAATTTACCCATCAATTGGTGAATGAATAAATAAAAGCACACCCACTGGAATATTATGTCAATAAATAAAAAGAATGAATACTGCTACATGTTATAATATGGGTGAACTATGAAAAACTATGTAAGAGAAAACATCACATAGTATATGATTCATTCACATGCAGTGCTCAGAAAAGGCAAATTTGTAGAGACAAAGTAGATTAGTGGCTGTTGGGAGGGTAGAAGTTTGGAGGAGGGCGTGGGGAGTGACAATTAATGTGTATAAACTTCTTTTTGACTGGACACTGGTGGTTTACACCTGTAATTCTAGTTACTCAGGAGGCTGAGATCTGAGGATCAGTTTGAACCAAACAGAGCAGGAAAGTCTATGAAACTCATCTCTAGTTAACCAGCAAAAGCCAGAAGTGGAGGTGTGCTCAAGTGGTAAATCTAGCTAGCCTTGAGCCAAAAATAGGCCCTACCCTAAGTTCCAGACCCAGTAACAACCCCTCCTGCCCCCCCCCCCCAGTTGGTTGTTGTTTGGGCTAGAGGAATAGCAGTGGAGGTGGTAGAAATAAATTCACATATGATATCCCAGCAATGCAGTTTAACAAATGAGACACTATCTTACTATGTGCAAAGTTCTCTAGCTCTTACCAGCAGACACTTAAACCTCTGTGGGGTGAAAGCAGATGCCTTTTCATATATATAAAAAAAAAAGGCACAAATCAGCCCTCTCAGGAGGCTGAAAGCTGAGGATTGAGATTTGAAGCTACCCCAGGTAGCTAAATCCAGGAGATTCCAATTAAGCAGCAAAAAGCTGGAGGAGCAGCTGTGGCTTGAATAAAAAAGCTACTCAGGACAGCAACCAGGCCCTGAGTTCAAGCCCCAGGATGGACATAAAAACACACAATAAAGTAAAAATCATTCATCTTCTTCAGCTCATGGCCACCACGCCTACAACATTACAGAATGTTTAGATTTTATATAAAAACTTTGGCAGTAGTGAGGAAGATTGTTAAGGTAACAGGTAATTATTCCAACACAAACTTGGATCTCCTATTCTGACAGTTGAGAAAAGAATAAATGTATGCAACAATGAAGGAGGCTGGGCCATTTCTTCTAGAGAAAGTTTGCTCTAACTATTCAAATATAAAGAACAATTATATATGCCACATTTGAGACTGAAAGAGCTCTAGGAGGGGGTGAGGATAAAGAGAAAATTTATAAATTGTAAATTGCTGTCATGACAGTGGCACAGCTGGAAAAGTCAACCCCAAAATGAGCTAATCTAGGCTTTTGAGTCCTGGTTTTTCTCCAAACATGGCAATGTCTGGCCATGACAAACTGAGGGTAACTAGTGGCCCCACCTATATTGGACAAAAGCATTAACAAAAGCATTAACTATATAAGGACTCTTGTTTGTGCTTTCTCCTGGTGACTAGCTGGTTGAGAATCCAAGGTCGGTGCTCAAAGCATGCAGATTTTGGATGCTAAAGAAAAGCTGCTCTTCGAATCAGTTCTAAGTGCTGAACATAGATAGCTCTTTTCATATTAAGGAAAGAATATGACAAGAGTCTTGGCTCAAGTTTGCCTCCTTCTTACGCACCGTCCACAGCAAGACCCTCTAGAGTGAAGGTAAAGGTTAAGCTAGTGGAGTTTTCGTTCCCAAAGACTACTTAAGGGCTGTTTAGTGCAGAACTGTCCCAGCCTGGGGAGAGCCTTCCACCACAGGTAAACTTGGGGGACAAACGGGGTCTTGCAGGATTGCAGTAAACCAGGGCAACCTTCCAATACTCATCCCCACCTCATCCCAAAGAGCATCGTCTCCTTTTCTACGCCGACCCCTCTCCCCCAAGGAGCCTCTTCCAACTCACCTGATGCTCTAAAGACAGGACCTCAATTCCCAGAACCAAGTTTCCCAACCTTTTGCATAGGAAACTTCCCCATCATGCCTCAGAAATCTGCTCCCTCCGCCCCCAACCCTTCAGATCTGGATCCCCCTTGACCCCTCCAATGCCCCAGCCCTGCTGCAACAGTCACCACCGTCCTCTGGCCATGAGATAGGAAGACCTCCACGCTGTCAGAGGACGCCATGACGCTCCTCACACCCGGTGACCCCCAAACTGAGTTCATCCCTCAAGAGAATACATCTTCCCAACTACTCAGAGCCATCACCCGAAACCCTTCAAAGTCAGGGCCACCCTGCTCCACAAATCCTGAGCCCCAGTTCCCTTCATTCATCTCCTTAGTGGTTTGGGCGCTCAGATCAAGGGCAGGATCCGTACCATGGTAGCGACTCCTGCAGCTGGCGGGCAGTCTCGTGACCTAACCACCAACGGCCACCCAGAGCCCAGCCCGGTGCACCCTGAGGAGGGGGCTGAAGGAGGTGGTAGGGGCGGAGCCTGGCTCGGGGCGGGGCCTGGAAGTACAAGGGGCGGGGCCTTCTCGGGGCGGGGCCTAGAACGTGGGGGGGTGATGGTAGAGTGAAATCCTGCTGCGGCCTGGGCGGGGCTAGGGGGGCATATAGGGGCGGGGCCTTGAGTGGGCGTGATCAGGTGCGATGTAGGGTGGGGACCTGGCGCGGGCGGGCCCAGGCGCGCGCTGGGCCTGGCACGCGCGGGGCGGTCTCGCGGGCTGCGGCAGGTGAGCGGCAGGCGGGGATGGCGGAGCAGTGGGATCTGGACGAGGAGGGCATCCGCCGCCTGGGGGCGCTGAGCCTGGAGCAGCCGGGTAGGGGCGGGCCGGGAGGGCTTGGGCAAGAAGTGTGCTTTAGATGCCTGGAGGAGAAAACTGAGGTGGAGAGGCCGGGGAGCCGGAGGTGGAGGCAGGAAACAATGGCAGAGCGGTCTCTGAGGCGTAGGAGGTTCGGGAAACTGAGGCAGAAAGGGTGGAATGGAGGAATCAAAGGAGCAGGTAGAGAGCGGCGAATTGAGGGGGAGGAGAGGGAAGAGAAAGCATCGGGCACCCTTGATAGCCGACAGAACTGGACCGAGGGAAGAAGTCTCCTCTAGTGGAAGAGACAGACTGAGCCTGGCGGGGCCGCGGCGGGGAGAAGGGAAGTGTTGAGAAGGGCCATTGTGGTGAGGGGAGATGCTGAGGAGACATGTTGGCAGTCGGGAAACTTCCTACCCCAAAGGGCCTTTCCCGATCGGAGTGACATGGGAAAGGGCTCCCTTCCATTCTCGAGAACGTCAAGAACCTGGCCTTCGCTTTTTGACAAGTAGCTTCCTTGTAAGGGACTAGAAAAAGGCCTTGAAATCACTGGCAGTGCCTAGCGGTTCTGCCTGGCGGTGCTGACTCCATTCCTGGCTCGGGGATGGACTGCACTCAGCTTCCTTTCTGACTTTCTCCTAAATTCATATTCTCACCCCCAGGCCCAGCTTTACCTGCAGTTACTTCATCTCCCCCAACAAGTCTATCAGGTAGATGCTGTTACAATTTCCCCGTTGTACTGATCAGTAAAATCACCCAAAGTCACAGAGCCGGTGAAGTGTCACACCAGGGTTCATAACCCACAGCTTTCACCGTCGTTGTTGTTGTTGTTGTTATTGGTTGTGGGGCTTGAACTCAGGGCCTGGACACTGACCCTGAGCCTCTTTGTGTTCATGGCTAGCGCTCTACCACTTGAGCCACAGAGCCACTTCCAGTTTTTGAGTGGTTAATTGGGGATAAGAGTTTCACAGGGACTTTTCTGCACTGGCTGGATTTGAACCATGATCCTCAGATCTCAGCCTCCTGAGTAGCTAGGATTGATTACAGGTGTGAGCCACTGAGCTGGGCATGAGCCACTGGCCTTCAGCCCACGGCTTGGATGCCAGAGCCTGCCTACATTATAACCATAACAAGTATTCATCTTTCTTGCTTCCTCTCCTATTTTCATTTGTAGAATATGAAATGACCTAGTTTTCTTGTATTTGTAATATCATTTAAGATTATCATACTTCCTTTCTCTCTATCCTTTCTTCCCTCCCTCTCTTCCTCTCTCCTTCCTTCCTTTCCTCTTTCTCTCTCTCTCTTTCTCTCTTTCCTCTTTCTTTTCTGGCACCAGAGCTTGAACTCAGGGCCTTGGGCTCTTGCTCACCTTTCTTGTTCTATCACTTGAGTCACACTTTCAGCCCAGCTTTTTGCTATTTTGGAGATTGAGACTCATGAACTTTTCTTCCTAGGCTAGCTTTGAACTATGATCCTGAGATCTCAACCTCCTGAATAGCTAGTATTATAGACATAAGCCACCAGCATTTAACATGCCTATAAATAGAAAGATACAGAGACCCTGTCTCAAAAAACAAAAGACAAAAGAAGTGGTGACATTGTCCAAGAAGCATTATATTCCTTGCCTAATGTAAGGAATTATAACCCTTTGCTCAACTGCTTAAAAACAACAATAAAGTTTTTATAAAGGTAATGCCTGTGTGAGTCTGGACCTCAAAGTGGAGGTCAGGGTTAGAGTGGATGTAAGTTTTGGAGACATAACACAAAGTACTACAACCAAGGAGAGAATGCAGATAAAGAAGAAACATTATTTCCCAAACACCGCATTCCTGCTCCTCTACTCAGTCAATGGACATTGCAATACCCCAAAGCTGACTCTTAAGCTTTCTTCTTTTCTTTACCACAATTACAGAGGTAACTGCTTACCCAATATCTTTGTGTTTCCTGTGAGTTGGTAGTTAGATAAGGTTAATTGAATTCAGGTTTGGGGAGTGAGTGTTTCTTTTTCAGCAAGACAGTTTCATGAGTAATGGTGCATACTTCTGTTAGGAAATATATGATGTCTGGTTCTTTCTTTTTGTGATAGCCATTGACTAGGTCCATTAATTGCGTAGGTCCATTAATTCAGTAGGAATTATAAAATGGTTATTTGTAATTCTCTCATCCTTTTCCATTAGCTGCAATAATTCTATAAAGACAATGATTTGATTATCCTGGGGTATAATTTGCATAGGAAAGACAGGTTAAAAATTGGAGGGTTTTTCACTTATTTGCTAGTTTTGTGTTGTCTTCTTAGACTCCTTCTAGGGTAACTAACAAGGGCTGTGCTATGTCCTCAGCATCATTGTAAACTCATTGATTTAAATATGTTTGGTGTGTTCCAGTTCACTCTAGTTATTATTATATTTCATATTCAACTTATCCCAACTTTGACTAATGAGGATCTTTCAAGGTGATTCCTAATGCCCTAAAAAAAGTTTTATTTCTTTGAGATATTTTTTTCTGGTGCTGAATCTCACATATGAGAGTTGAAGCCATGTATTGTTATTATGCACATGCTTTAGTAAAGGCTATTCAGTTTCCAAACAGAGATGACCAGATTTGTTGTCATCATGAATAGAACAATTTTTTTTTGCATATACTGTGCAAGTGTTCAATTACAGAGCAATACCTCTAGTCCTATTCTGTTCTTTTGGGGGGGGATGAATACTAGGGCTTGAACTCAAAGCACTAGGAAAGCACTCCATAATTGGTCCATGCCCTACATTCCTCTTTCTTTTGTTTATTTTTTGGATAGCATCTCACATTCCCTCCCCACCAGAGCCAGCTTCAGACTGCCATTCTCTTACTTATACTTCTAGTAGCAAGAATTGTTAGTTGATATGGGGTATCACTAACTTTAGCTCAGGCTGGCCTCAAGCCAAAATCCTCCCAATCTCTGGCTTCTAAGTAGCTGGGATTACAGGCTTGAGCCACCACACCAGGTTTTCCAAATGCATAGCTTCTTAAGAGCATACTTCCTGTGACTCATAAAAGAATGTCACTGTAGCAATTATTATTTCAATGGTACTTCTCTGAAGAAATATGTCTGTTCTTCAAAGTAGACTTCAGTGGAAAAACATAAGAAGTGTTATGAGCTGATGATGGAAATCCTCATTATCCTTAGTTTTTTTGTCGTTGTTGTCTGAAACCAGGACTCAAACTTGGTATCTGACTCTTTTGTTCACTGGCTGGCGATCTACCATCTGATCCATCCTTCAACTCCATATCCTTAGCTTTTATCCCATAATAACAGACCTTCAGGGTATTAGATCCCTGTAAAGCATCAAACCAGCAGTATACCGCCCTCCAAGTCAGAAAAATTGTTGCTGTTGTTTTAATTTTAAAAGCTGTCCTCTTGCATTATAAAACTCACCATTTAAAAACAACTCAAGGTCATTTAATACATTCCCAAAGTTGTACCTCTGTTCACATTGTCTCTTTTCATCAACCCATTAGGCAGTCATTCCTTTTCTCCTGCTTCCCTCAGCCCCTGGCACCCACTAATCTGCTTTCTGTCTTTATGAATTTGCTTCTTCTGGACATTTCATATGAATGGAATAATAGAATATGTCACATTTTCTGTCTGGCTTCTTAGATTTAGCATGATCATTTGAAAGTTCATATTTTAACGCATATCAATAATTCATTCTTTTTTATTAATAGACTGTCTTTTGAGCCATTTTAGGCTTATAGAAAAATGGTGCATGCTATAGATAGACTTCCTGCACCTTCCCCCCCACATTTCCCTTATTACTAATAAGCTTGCATTAGTGTGGTATAGTTGTTGCAACTTATGAATCAATATTGACAAATTAGCTGGATTCTAATGGTTCATGTCTGCAATCCTAACTACTCAGGAGGCTGAAATCTGAGGATTGCAGTTTGTTGCCAGCCCAGGCAGGAAAGTCCATGAGACTTTTATCTCCAATTAGCCATCAGAAAAAACAGAAGTGGCACTGCTGCTCAAAGTGGTAGAGCCCTAGACTTGTGCGAAAAAGGTCAGGGACAGCACCTAGGCCCCAAGTTCAAACCCCCTCACACACACACACACACACACACACACATACACACACACACCCCACACACAGATTATTATTAATTGAGGTCCTTGGTTTACATTAAAATTCATGTGCAGTACAGTTCGGTTTTGACAAATATATAGTGGTGTTTGTCTACCACTGTAGTATCAAATGGTAATTTCATTGTCCTAAAAATTTCTTTGTACTCTACCTACTCATTCCTCCCTCACTCCTGACATCCATTCAGCTGACCACCACCAGCCCCGATGTCGTATATTTGTGTGCAGGGTTTTGTGTGGACATAAAGTTCAGTTAACTTGGGCTGGCAAGGTGGCTCAGTGGTAGAGCGCTTGCCTTGCATGCATGAGGCCCTGGGTTCGATTCCTCAGCACCACATAAGCAAAAAGAAAAAAGCTGGAAGTGGCGCTGTGGCTCAAGTGGTAGAGCGCTAGCCTTGAGCTGAAGAGCTGAGGGACAGCACCCAGGCCCAGAGTTCAGAACCCATGACCGGACCCAAAAAAAAAAAAAAAAGTTCAGTTAACTTGAATAAATACCAAAGATGTAAATGCAGGCTCATATGGTCAATTGTGTAAGACAATGCCAGGCTATCTTCTAAAGTAGCTGCATTGTAGTGTAGCTCCACCCCCAATGATGAGATTTCTAGTTACTCCACAATCTATATCAGTAATATTTGGAACTGTCAGTGTTTTGAATTTCAGTAATTCTACTAAGTATATATTGGTATCACATTTTTGTTTCACTGTTTCGTAATGACTTACGATCATGAGAATTTTTCATATTTTGCCAACCATACGTATATAAATTTTGTGGAATTTATTCAAGCCTTTTGCCAATTTTTAAATTGGATTATTTTCCTAATGTTTTTCTGGTCCTGGAGCTTGAATTCAGGGTCTGGGCACTGTCCTTAAGCTTTTGTGTTCCAGGCTAGTGCTCTACCATTTGAGCCACAGCTCCACTTCTTGCTTTTTGTGGTTAATTGGAGATAAAATTCTCTCAGATTTTTTCTGCCCAGGCTGGCTTCAAACCACAATCTTCAGATCTCAGCTTCCTGAGTAGCTAGCATTACAGACATGAGCCATCAGCACCTGGCCCTTATTGTTGAGTTTTAAAAGTCATTTGTATATTAGTCTTTATCAGATAACATTTTGCAAATATTTTTCTTGCTGTTACTTTTCCATTACTATAACAAATAAAGATAAAATAATTTATAACAAGGAAAGTTTTGCCAGGTGCTAGTGGTTCACACAATAATTCTAGCTACTCAGGAGGCTGAGATTGAGATCCATTTCTGCCCCCCACCCCCACCCCACGCCAGGGGAAAGCACAAACGCAGTCCCTGGAGATCCCATTTCAAAGTCAGCCCTATTCTGTTATCTATCTTTCTATCTATCTATCTATCTATCTATCTATCTATCTATCTATCTATCTATCTATCTATCTATCTATCTATCGAGGGAGGAAGATGTTCATTTGTTTCTAACAGGGTTTGAGAGTTAAGTAGTATTATTGCTGCCATTTTATAGATGAAGAAGCTGATGTACAGAGAGGCTAAATGTCTGGTAGTCACAGATCTAGTGCATCTTTCTTTGCATCAATGCACTGATATATAGCTTGTCTACTCCCCTTCTACTGCAGGATCCATTGATAGTTTTCTCTTGTTTGCTTGCTTGCTTCTGTTTTAAAACCTTTCTGGGCTGGTGAAGAGGCTTAAATGGTAGAGTGCCTGCCTAGAAAATGCAGGACCCTGAGTTCTACTCCCTAAGTACTGCAAAAACAGGTAACAACCACCTTTCTGAAAGCTGGGGATGCCAGGGGTTTATGCCTGTAATCCTAGCTGCTCAGAAGATAGGGATTGGGAAAAATCAGTTCAATGCCAGCTCAGGCATAAATTCATTTCAATCAATAGTTGGACATAGTGGTAAATGCCTATCATGGTAGCTACGTGGGAAGTATAATTAGGCAGATTGAGATCCAGGTCCACCAGAGCATACAGGCAAGACCCTATTTGGAAGATAATGAAGCCTGGTGCTGGTGGCTCATGCCTATAATCCCAGCTACTCAGGAGGCTGAGGATCTGTGATCTGAGGATCAGAATTCAAAGCCAGCCACAGGAAAGTCTTGTGAGACTGTTACTTCCAATTATCCAACAGAAAACCAGAAATGGCACTGTGGCTCAAAGTGGTAGAGCACTAGCCTTAAGCAAAAGAGCTCAGAGACAGCACCCAGGCCCTGAGTCAAGCTCCACGACATACATATACATATATATATATAGTTATATATATAGTTTTATATATATGTAGTTATGTACTTATATATATATAAGTACATATATATATATATATATATATATATATATAAGTAGTTAAAGGAGTTACTATTCAACAAAACAGTTTATGAATACAGTGCATCTTGATCAATGGTCACCTATTTAATTATTCTCCCCCATTCCTCCCAACCTTACCCCTTCCCTCAATTTTCTTAATTTTGTAGAATATGTGTTGAATCTTATGACTACATTCTCCCCCTTAAGTTATGTTTTGAGTACTTTTTTTTTTTTTTTGTCAGTCATGGGGCTTGAACTAAGGGCCTGGGTTCTATCCCTGAGTTCTTCAGCTCAAGGCTTACAGTCTACCACTTGAGCCACAGTCCCACTTCTGTTTTTTTTCTGTTTATGTGGTGCTAAGGAATCAAACCCAGGGCCTCATGCATACAAGGCAAGCATTCTAACACTGAGCCACCTTCCCAGCCCCTGTTTTGAGTACTTTTTTTTTGGTCGGTTGGGCACTGTCTCTAAGCTCTTCAGCTAAAGGCAAGCGCTCTACTACTTGGGCCACAGCACCACTTCCAGTCTCCTGGTGATTTATTGGAGGAAAGAGTCTCATGGACATTCCTGCCCAAGCTGGCTTTGACCCGTGATCCTCAGATCTCAGCTTCCTGAGTAGCTTGGATTACAGGCATGAGCCACTGGCACCCGGCTTGGGGAAACTTTTACACATCCTTCAAGGCAATTTGAGAACCCCAAGGCCTTTATAAAACAATGATTCAATTGCTGTGATAAACTCTTACAAGCTTTGGAAAAAGGCCATTCACAGGTGGGTGATGGGAGGAACACAGGCCTATTCTCAGACTCTGCTGCTTCCAAGCAGAAATCATAACATATCTACTGGTGATCTCTTTTCAGAACTGGTGGAGTCTCTTTCATTGCAGGGATCTTATGCTGGAAAAATCCATTCTATTGGTGATGCCTTCAGAAACTTTAAAAATCTCCGATCCTTAGATTTATCAAGAAATTTGATCACCAGCCTAAAGGTACATTCTATATTCTATGACCAGCCCCATTAGTCTAATTTAGGTTTGTGTGTGTGTGTGTGTGTGTGTGCGCACGCGCGCACGTGCCCATCTGAATGTGTATGTTGATTCTGGGGCTTGAACTCAGGACCTGGGTGCTGTCGTTGAGCTTTTTTGTTCAAGCTAGTAATTTACCACTTAAACCAGAAGCTCTACTTCTGGCTTTTTGGTGATTAATTGGAGCTAAGAGTCACATGGACTTTTCCTGCCCAGGCTGGCTTCAAACTATGATCCTCAGATCTCATTCTCCTGAATAGATGTGATTGGAGGCATTAGCCACTGGTGCCCACCCTGTAATATGTTTTTATACCTTTTTTCTTCCCACTTCTATAAATTGGATAAAAAAAAAACTGTGAAGATTAATCAAATTAGCATATGTAATTAAATAAACAGATATAACACTCCTGGTACAGTGTTTGGCTTGTAAGTAGGAATTGGTAAATGTTAGCCTTCTATGTTTTGTTTTATTTTATTTTGTTTTGTTTTGTTTGTCATTTGTGGGGTTTGAACTCTGGGCCTGGGTGCTGTTTCTCAGCTCTTCAGCTCAAGGCGAGCATTCTACCATTTGAGCCACAGCACCACTTCCAGTTCTCTGGTGGTTGACTGGAGATAAGGGTCTCATGGCTTTTCCTGCCCAGTCTGGCTTTGAATCATGATCCTCAGATGCTGAGTAGCTAGGATTACAGGCGTGAGCCACCAACACCCAGTTTTGTTTTGTTTTTAATCAGTAACTTATCTGCATTCATCTGAATCAGTTTGCTCAGTTTTCTTAGGGAGAAAATGTTTTGTGATTATTCCTAGCATAATGTTGGAAAACACATGAATTCATGATAGATATTTAACAATTACTTGTTGGTTATAGGCATATAATCCTAGTTTATAATCCTATAATTTTAGCTACTCAGTAGGCTGAGATCTGCGGATCAAGGTTCAAAGCCAGTCCAAGCAGACAGCCCGCCCCCCCCCAGACTATTATCTTCAATTAATGAGTAAAAAGCTAAAACAGGAAGTGTGGCTCAAATGGCAAAGTACCACCAGCTATGAGTGAAAAATGTCCCAGTACTGGAACACATACACACACACACACACACACACACACACACACACACACACACACTTCATCTTTTACTATTTTCTTCTCCTTCAGAAGAAGCTCTTTCTCCTGTAAACTGAGGTTCTTATGAAGTTAGGAGACTAGGCAGGGGCAAAGATGAAAGTCAAAATGGTTCAGCCTGGCTACTACTGGGAAAGCTGGGGAACCACAGATGGAGAAAATTGATTCCAGGTATTTATTTGTCAGATTATTTATTTATTTATTTATTGTTTTGTCAATCGTGGAGGCTGAACTCTGGACCTGGGCGCTGTCCCTCAGCTCTTCAGTTCAAGGCTAGTGCCTTGAGCCACAGCACCACTTCCTGCTTTTTTCTGTTTATGTGGTGCTGAGGAATGGAAACCAGGGCTTTATGCAAGCAAGGCAAGCACTCTACCACTGAGCCAACTTCCCAGCCCCTTGTCAGATTTTTCAAAGGAGACATATTTACACCTGTAAATTCAGGTTTTTTTCCTTTTGTTTTGGTTTTGTGCCAGTCCTGGGGCATGAACTCAGGTTCTAGTGCTGTCCCTGAGCTTTTTTCTTTTTTTTTTGCTCAAGGCTAGCACTCTGCCACTTGAGCCGTAGCTCCACTTGTGGCTTGGTTAATTGGAGATAAGAGTCTCACAGACTTTCCTGCCCTGGCTGGCTTTGTACTGGGATCCTCAAACCTCGGTAGCTAGGATTATAGGTGTGAGCCACCAGTGCCCAGCACCTGTAAAATTCTTTCATGTTTAGAAGGCAGAGTACTCATGGGCAGCAACGTTTTTCTCCTTCTCAGGCAACTGAATGGAAGGTGCACGAAGACTTTTTTTTTTTGGCCGGTCTTGGGGCCTAAACTCGGGCCTGGGCGCTGTCCCTGAGCTCCTCAGCTCAAGGCTAGTGCTCTACCACTTGAACCACAGTGCCACTTCCAGCTTTTTCTGCTTATGTGGTGCTGAGGAATTGAACCCAGGGCCTCATGCATGCAAGGCAAGCACTCTACCACTGAGCCACCTTCCCAGCCCAGCACTCAGACTTTCTCATAGATGACTGACATGTCTACGGCTGTAAAGTAACAGATACATTCCCATCTTTATCTTGAGATCCTTAACAGTGTGCAGTTTCCTAATGTGGTCTTTTCCTTACAGGGCATCCAGTATTTATGTTCACTCCAAGACCTGAATTTATATTATAACAACATCCCTTCATTAGTGGAGGTGTCCCGCCTGCAGCCTTTACCCTTCCTCAAAGAACTAGATCTGAGACTCAATCCTGTTGTCAGGAAAGATACAGATTACAGGCTCTTTGCTGTGTACACACTGCAAACTCTGGAGAAACTGGGTGAGATCCTCTTCCTCCATTCCTTCCCCAGCATCTCACTTCAAATCAGCTGACCCTGAACCTTTTGGATGTGAGCCCAGATTATGCACTGGCAGGAGACATTTGTTTATCAGTCAATATTTATGTCACTTTGTGCAGGCAGGATGTATGACGGGTACTTTTATTGTTTATTGAATGGCCATCTATGATTTTTATCAGTTATTTCCAGCTTTAGTTTTCTTCAGCTGATGGTTTCACCACCACTTCCTAACACAAAATTTCCAGGCTGAGACTCATTTTTCCAGGTGCCTTGACTTTGCAGCTGTAATTAGCAAGAGAAAGCTCATGCAACTGTTCCTTGGGGCTGAGTTGACATGGAACAAGAAATATCCCTTTAAATGAGCTGGCCCTGTACTTCCTTCCAATGTAATTATTGAGTATACATTTCTTATTGATATAAAATTTGATTTCACGTGGCTCAGTGAAAGTCATTGCAGGAAACTAAGTGCATTCCCTTTGGAAAAAAAAAAAAAAGAAATCATATAACTTTCAGCATTAACAAGAGCAGGGGCTGCTATCCACGCTCCGCCTCCACCTTCCTGAAAGGGTTGCTACCCTGTGTGGAGCTGTTGCTATGGCACCCTGAGTTACTGCTTGCTCCAGTGACAACATAATAGCATTATGTTGTGACCTGTTTCCAACACACAAAGATGAGTCTGGTCTTTAGTTTTCCCTCTGTAAATATGGCTCTCTGACCTACTACCGTTTGCTCCCCAAAAGAAACATGCTTAAACCAAGGTTTGTGCCTTCAGATGATCGAACTGTACGTGACAGTGAGAGGAAAGCCGCCAAGCTACATTTTAGTCAATTGGGCAACAGTGAAAATTTTCTTTTAGAGGTGGAAAAAAGGTAAGACAATTATCTACAATTGTTTTTAGTCTGGCTCTAGACATAGGTCATAAGTGAATTTTTGCTTGAAGTCGATTTCTGACAGAAAGCTCCCAGGAGTTGTATGACTAGTTAGCTCTAGAGTAAAGTACTCAGCAAACTGAGGTTTATTAGGACCTCACTGGGTTCATTCCTACGTTGGGTTTGCATTGGATAAAATTATTATAACTCCAAAGGTGGTGTCCACAGCTTATAGATAGGGACAGTATAAATGCCCACCAACTCTCCCTTGGTAGAAATACCAAACAGTGAATGGTCTTTTTCTATTGAATAAGGAGGTTACATTATAATATATAAGACTGTTGGAGATAGAATGAAAGTACTTCTCTACAAACTTCTCGAGACTCTCACGAATCTGGATTCTCTCCCTCCCCCCCTTTCTCTCTGTCTCTGTCTCTGTCTCTCTCTCTCTCTCTGTCTCTCTCTCTGTCTCGTTGATCCTGGGGCTTGAACTCAGGGCCTGAGTGCTATCCCTGAGCAATTTTCACTCAAAGCTACCACTCTACTGCTTTGAGCCACAGCTCCCCTTCTGGTTTTTTAGTAACGAGTGAGTCTCACAGACTTCATTTTCCTGCCTAGTTTGGCTTCAAACCATGATCCACAGATCTTAGTCTCCTGTGTAGCTAGGATTACAGCCATGAGCCACCAGTGCCTGATGATTTTCCATTTCTTTACAAAAATCATATCCAGTAAAAGTGTTTATCTTCTATCCTAAACCTATGCTTTCAAAAGTTAGCATTGGCCATGCGCTGGTGGCTCATGCCTGTAATTCTAGCTACTCAGGAGGCTAAGATCTGAGGATCATGGTTCAAAGCCAGCCTAGGCTGAAAAGTCCATGATGCTCTTTTGGGGGGTGGGGGCGGGGGGTCAGTTGTGGGGCTTGAACTCTGGATCTGGGCACTGTCCCTGCGCCCTTCAGCTCAAGGAGAGTGTTCTACCACTTGAGCCACACACAGCGCCATTTGCAGTTTTCTGGTGGTTAATTGGAGGAGTCTCACAAACAAAGCAGTTCTTGCCCTGGCTGGCTTTGAACCGCCATCCTCAGATCTCAGCCTTCTGCTTAGTATTACAGGTGTGAGCCACTCACGCCCACCTGTGAGATTCTTACCTCCAATAAACCACTAGAAAACTAGAAGTGGTTCTGTGGCTTAAGGGGTAGAGCACTAGCCTTGAGCTGAAGAGCTGAGGGTCAGCGTCCAGGCCCAGAGTTCAAGCCCTACAAGTGACAAAAATAAAAAAGAGCTTTGTTAATTTTGAGGATTAGGTACAAATCCATCACAACTTAAATAATGCAGAAAAGAATATGCAAAAGTCAAAATTATTCTACTATTAATGTTTGGTATACATCTTTCCAGACAACTGTGTACTATAAATGTACTCATTAATCTATCCTATCAGTCTAGTTTGTTAGTGTTTTTCTGATGATTATTATTGAGAATTTGAAAAGTTCAGGGGAAAACAAACTACAAGGCTTTTTTCAAATAAGATCAATCCCACCATCTAGAAATGAACATGAATTAAGGCAAACAATCTTCAGTCTTTTTTTTTTTTTTGCCAGTCATGGGGGCTGAACTCTAGGCCTGGATGCTGTTCCTCAGCTCTTCAGCTCAAGGCTAGCACTCTACCACTTGAGCCACAGCACCACTTCCAGCTTTTTCTGCTTATGTGGTCCTGAGGAATCGAACCCAGGGCTTCATGCATGGAAGGCAAGCACTCTACCACTGAGCCATCTTCCCAGCCCCAATCTTCAGTCTTAAAAAGATTATTTACCTTAATTAGTGTTATGTGTGTATATTTATAATATAAATACATATATATGATCTATAGCTCTATCTATAGCTATCTATAGAGCTAGAGATACACACATATACACATATCTATCTATACCACATTATTTTACAGTAATTTCTTTTTACCATCTTTTCTCCACACTAGAACATAAGCTTATAAGAACAAAGACCTTTTTGATCTTATATATTACAGAATCTGTAGTGCTATGTCAGGGATTGGCATGCAGAAGTGCTAAGAAATCATTTGTTGAATGATAAATAATGAAGGCCAGCCATGTCTGTTGGCCTGGCATCTTTTCCAGTGACTTTGCTTAACTCTGCTCTGATCTGTAGGTTAGTAGTGTCAACTTACATAGCATAGGGGCTGGGAAGGTGGCTTGCTCAGTGGTAGAGTGCTTGCTTCGCATGCATGAGGCCCTGGGTATCCCCAGCACCACATAAGCAGAAAAAGCCAGAAGTGGCGCTGTGGCTCAAGTGTAGAGCACTAGACATGAGCTGAAGAGCTGAGGGGCAGTGCCCAGGCCCAGAGTTCAAGCCCCATCACCAACAAAAAACCAAACAAGCAAAATAAAAACTTACATGGCATAAAATTTATCCTGCTATAGACAGAAATGAAATGTTCCTAAAAAGGATTTTTAGTAACACACACACACACACACACACACACCAAATTTCTATTTCAAATACATTGGTGTTTTCTGTGTACCATAACAAAATAGAGAGAATCAGTGTATAACTGAATAAAATGTATAGCAAGGTATATAATTAATTCCATCATTAATCTGTTTAGGCCCAGAAAATCATTTGGTATATGACAGGATAGAATCATATGCTGCTCTTTTTTTTTTTTTTTTAATTGTCGGTCATGGAGCTTGAACTCTGAGCCTGGGCACTGTCCCTGAGCTCTTCAGCTGAAGGCTAGCATGCTACCACTTAAGCCACAGTGCCACTTCCTGCTTTTTCTGTTAATGTGGTGCTAAAGAATCGAACCAGGGCCTCATGCATGCAAGTTAGGCACTCTACCACTGAGCCACTTTCCCAGCCCACATATGCTGTTCTTCAGCTTCCCAGGGCCCTCTGCCTGTATTCCTAATTTTGTATGGCCTGCAAATGATATTATACCTATTCAAGTAGCCCTTGATAGAAAAAAATGTTCCCCAGCCCTGAGTGATGGCTAAACCAGAGGTTAAATTCTACTCTATGCCTAGTAATAACATTCATTTTTTTTTTACAAGCCCTCCAATCTTGGGGGAAGTTTTTAAAGCCTCACTGGTTCCTATAAAATGGAGTTGATAGGTAGTAGGGAGGCTTTTATGATGAAATGAGAAAGTGAGTATAAAGCATATGGTCTAGCTTTCCTGTACTTCCAAGGTACTTAACTCAATCAAGGACAAACACTTGCCCTTGTTAGCTGTTATTATAGCTAATGGCTATACTTGTCACCACTATAACACTAGAATCTGCCCTATCTGTATCTTAACTATAAATATTTTAAGTAAAAAAAATATTACCATCTCAATCTGTCAGACTTTTCAAATTTGAGTAAGTTCTGAATTTTCTCTTTAAGTTCTGAATATTCTTTCACATTTAAGGCTTTCACATTTAAGGTTCAACTATAATATCTTCTCATCATTATTCTTAGTCAAAACTGATTTAAAACATTTTTGGCTTTAACTAAGATACTATAAAAATGTAGTTAACATATCTTAGAGCATTTGAGAGGAAAAAAATAAAAAAGGTCTGACCACCATGAACCAATTTCTAAACATCATGGACTGGTGATCTCAAAAGCTTTCTTTCAAGCTGGGCACCAGTGGCTTATGCTTGTAATCCTAGCTGAGATCTGAGGATCATGGTTCAAAGCCAGCCCAGGCAGGAAAGCCTGTGAGACTTTTATTCAATTACTAAAACCAGACATAGAACTATGGATCAAGTGGTACAGTGCTAGCCTTGAGCACAAAAAGCTGAGTGACAGCACATAGGCCCTGAGTTCAAGACCCAGGACTGGTGCACACGTAAACAAATACACACATGGGGCTGGGAAGGTGGCTCAGTGGTAAAGCGCTTGCCTTGCATGCCAGAGGCCCTGGGTTCGATTCCTCAGCACCACATAAGCAAAAAAGAAAAAAGCCGGAAGTGGCACTGTGGCTCAAGTGGTAGAGCGCTAGCTTTGAGCTGAAGAGCTGAGGGACAGCACCCACATCCAGAGTTCAGGCCCCACAACTGGACCAAAAAAAAAAACAACATATACACACATGAAAATAAAGGCTTTCTTTCAACTTTTAATTAAATTCTTCTGTTTGACAGCTCTAGGGAGAAGACAATGAAAAACTGTGTGACAGATGAGGGCTCTGCATTAAAAGTCAGTGTGGAGGTTGACACCAGGATTGAAACAGGTCAGCATTTTCTCTGTGATCACAAAATGATCAAGACATCAGTGGTCTCAGCTGTCATAGCCAATATTGGGTAGAATGACGACAAAGTAGTTGAGAAAGCACAGACTGGAAGCAAGCCCAAGATCGATTGGCTGTGTTTTTCCCCCCTTCCTCCTGCTGCCAGAAGGACCCTGGGTTGAGGCTTTCAAAGCACAAGCTGTACTCAGAGAGTTCAATTTCATTTACATAATTTTACGTCATTCATATACCCGTCCAAAAAATAAACTTTAATATTACTTTGCTCATCCCTGTCAGCCCCTAGGCACCGATAAGGTAATTGAACTCCTTAGCCAGAATCTTTTGACTCATCTGCATCCATACAGCTTATACCCTGGGCCTCCTGAGTTCCCAAACCAAGCACTTTTCCTGCTATAGGATCTCTTGTGCTTGATTGTGCTCTATTTCCATAAGCACTATTGGTTCTTCAAAATGGTTACAGTGATACCACTTTGATGATCCTGCCATATGCTAAGCAAGCTTTCCACCAGAAAGGTGTGTGTGTGTGTGTGTGTGTGTGTGTGGTGTGTGTGTGGGTGTGTGTGGGTGTGTGCTGGTCCTGGGGCTTGAACTCAGGGTTTGGGTACTGTCCCTGAGCTTTTGTGCTTAAAGCTAGAATTCTATCACTTGAGTCATAGATCCACTTTCATCTTTTTGGTTGTTAATTGTATGTAAGTCTCACAGACTTTTTTGCCCTACTGGCCTAGAACTACAATCCTCAGATCTCAGCCTCCTGGGTAGCTAGAATTACAAACATAAGACACCAGAGCCTGGCCAGATTACCTTTTTCACTGGAGAAAACTTTCTTCTGTCCTAGAGTCTCTGCCCTTCTGCAAGATTTATTCAATTATACACAAACGCTTTTTAAAAAATCCAGTAGCCAGGCACCAGTGGCTCATGCCTATAATCCTAACTATTCAGGAGGCTGAGATCTGAGGATCACAGTTTAAAGCCAGCCCAGGCAGAAATTCTGTGAGACTCTTATCTCCAATTAACCACCAGTAAACTGGAAGTGGTGCTGCGGCTCAAGTGGTAGAGCACTAGCCTTGAGCCGAAGAGCTGAGGGACAACACCCAAGCCCAGAGTTTAAGCCCCACAACTAACAACAACAATAACAAAAAATCCAGTAGATTGAATAGATGAGCTTTGTAGTTTAGATATCAAAGGTTTAGCATATATTTTATTTTCATGATTTCTTATCTGCCCATATGAACATAAATTCTAAGTCATTTCTACATTATATTGTGGCAAAATAAACTTTTGCTTTCTTTGATGTCTCAGTGAACATAAGTGATGAATGGTAATATAGTTTGTTTTATTTCATTTTTAAAGGTATTTCTTACATTTCAAAAATCATGTGACTTCAGATAATAATTTGGAAAATTCAAAATGCATGAAAAACATTTTAACCATCAATAGAGATAATCCAAATTCACAGTTTTCTATACAGACTTCTCTGGTATACAATCTTTGTTATTCAGCCTAGCATTTCTTCTAGGTCAAAGCATTTCTATAGCCATTCCTGGACAGAAGAAAATGCTTTGAAGCATAATTTGACAGCCTCTTTTCCTATGAGCTAATTTAGACTTCATTTATGTCGTGTCATTAGCACACATATTCCCTCCAAGAGTTAAAAATGTTTCTCCAAGTGTACAATCTCTACTGAGCACCAACTGCTTTACTAGACAGATGGCCCATTTCTGAAAGTTCTTGGAAGCCCCAGCTGTTGTCTGGATTTTTATAAATATATATAAAACTAATTTCTTGCCACTTTGAGCCATTAGAGCTGAATTTTCCACTGGAAATTGTGTTTGCATTGAATCCCTGGAGAGGATAGCTAGTAAGCACTGCTGGTAATCCAATATGATTAAAGTGGTTATGTTGTATTAATGGTCATGCCACAGGCTAAGAGAAAACCTTCCTGAAGGACAGAACCCACTACTCCATGGTTCAGACAGGGCTTTCCCACCAATCATTTCAAATGGACATGGAGCAGTTACTGGCTTGGATCTTCATCCTGTTCTCTTAACCACATAGTTTTTGGCTCTCTCTCTTCTTTCTCTCAGCCTCCCTGGCCCCCAAATAAACACACCTAGGCTATATTTTCAGAGTCTCCTGTCCTCTCTTTATTCTTTGTCCTTATTGGTCTAATATATTTCAATAGTTTTCTTTATAAGTAAATAGATTTATTATTTAGATTTTTCTCATATGTAAAGAATTTTTCTCACTAGGCCAGTGTCTGCATCAATGCTGCATCTCTGTTGACCAGCTATTAACATACACTTAGAGTCACCACTTAGAAAACATGCCCACCCCAACCCAAAAAGCCAAACAAAGCCCTAAGCATAATCCTCCATGCTTGCCCCATCTGAAAATAATTGGAGTTTGATGCTGTGTCTTAGGTGCATCTGAACATTCATACCCTTCTGTTAGTGTGTGTGTGTGTGTGTGTGTGTGTGTGTGTGTGTGTGCGCGCGCCAGTACTGGGGCTTGAACTCAAGACCTAGGTACTGTCTGTCCCTTTGTTATTTCTGCTCAAAGTGAGCACTCTACCACCTGAGCCGTAACTCTCCTTTTAGCTTTTATGGTGAATAATTGGAGGTAAGAGTCTCATAGACCTTCTCTCTGGGCTGGCTTTGAACCATCATCTCAGATCTCAGCCTCTTGAGTAGCAAGGATTACAGGTGTGAATCACTGAGCCTGCTCTGTATTTGCTGAGTGTAAACTCTGGCCCTGGTACTTCCCATGATCTCATTTAATCCTCACAACCTTGAAGTTGTTTGACAGGTGAAGCTGAGACCCAAAGAAGTGAAATAACTTGCCCTACTTACATAGCAAGTGGAGGAGGCAGGATGCTGACTCTGGTCCATATATTATTAAAGTCTTCCTCCAACTCTCTTCTTCCTTCCATTTATTCTGTACTTCATAGCCAGATTAATTCTCTTAAAACAGCATGATCACTAATTACATTTGCCTGCTCAGAAACTTCCATGCTTCCCATTGAACTACTATATTAATTCTAAGCTTTTTGACCTGGCATGCAAGGCTCCTCTAAGCTCTGGTTGCAACTTTATTTCTTCAGCCTTGCTTGAAACCTATCTCATTTCTCCACTACAATGTACAATGGTCCAATCAAATCAGACCACTCTTTTCTCCCCACAGAGTACTTCCTTAATACACTACTCTGAAATACACTCATAAAAGCCTACTTTTTCTTTATGGCCTACCTCAAAGTTCTTTCATTTTAATGAAATTTTTTTTTAAATTCCTCAACCAAAAAGATACTTTCTATTTTTGTAAATTCATATAACTTGCCTTCTGGAACATATACTCTGGTCATAGAAAAAGCAAACATTCCCTGAAGCACTTTCAGCATCATTCTTATTTTATTTTTTTGTCGTGGAGCTTGAACTCTGAGTCTGGATGCTGTCCCTGAGCACTTCAGCTACCACTTGAGCCACAGTGCCCACTTTCGGCTTTTTCTGTGTATGTGGTCCTGAGGAATCAAACCCAGGACCTCATGCATGCAAGGCAAGCACTCTACCACTGAGCCACCTTCCCAGCCCTCAGCATAATTTTTAAAAACTGAGGCCAGACATTGGTGGCTCATGCCTATAATCCTAGCTACTGAGGTTTGAAGCTAGCTCTAGCAGGAAAGTCTGTGAGACTCTTATCTCCAATTAACTAGCAAAAAGCCAGGAAAGGAGAGGTGGTTTAAGTTGTAGAGCATTAGCTAGCCTTGAACAAAAAAAAAAAAAAAAAAACACTGAGAGACAGCAACCAGGCCCTGAGTTCCAGTCGTCTTACCAGCACAAAAAGAAAAAAGAAAAAGATCGCGGTGTGGGTATTGCTGGTTTGTTTGCGTGTTTGTTTTGAAATGAAGTCTCATGAACCCTTCTGCCTGTTCTGGCTTTGAACTTTGATCTTCAGAATCTTAGCCTCCTGAACAGCCAGGATTTATAGGCTAGGATTACCAACAGCACCCAGCAACTGTTCTCATTTTACAAGTGAGGAATTCAAAGCAGAAAGAGGCTGGTCTAAATAGTGAATCATGTAGACTGCTGAGTAGAGCCTGGAGATATATAATGCTAGGAGTGGTCCCAGCATCTCCTTCTGCAGCAGATTCATTATTCACTGAGGAAGTGTGCAAAATATGATTTGCCTTTCTCTTTATTTCTATGGACATGTCATAATTTATGAAGTCATTTCATATCTATTGTTTTTTCACCTCAACCCTAAAAGGTAAGCAGTTTGGATTTTATTATCGCTGTTTTATAAAACAAAGTGAAAGATTCCAGGAGGTGAAGTTGTTTTCTCTAGCTCACCTGGATTCCATTATCTTTCCCTGGAAAACATGCTGCCTTAGAGGTCTGGTCAGAGCTTCAGTGCATTCCTTTTCTTTTTTTTTTTTTATTGTAAAGCTACTATACAGAGGGTTACAGTTACATGAGTGAGGTTATGAGTACCCTTCCTCTTGAACCTTGTTACCCCCTCCATTGTTTTCCCCCTACCATCCCCTCCCTCCCTCCCTTCCCCGAGGTTCTTTTTTTTTTTTTTTTTTGATTGTGATTAAATGATTACATAATTTCAAAGTCACAAGTTCATTCTAACTTCCCTGGAGCAAATTGTCTACCACAGTCTGTAATATATAACAGTGTTCACATGTTATATACCATATTTGTGATCAGCAGCATGGGGATATTTAGTAGTGGTTCAACCAGATGAGCAGGAGTTCTTTGTTTCTTAAGTCCTGTTAGTTTTGTCGTATCACCTAACCTTTTGGATTTAGCATCCACTTATCAGGGAGACCATGTACCGTTTGTCTCTTCGTTCTTGGCTTACCTCGCTCAACATGATTCCTTCTAGCTCCATCCATTTCCCTGCAAATGCCATTATTTTGTCATTTCTAATGGCTGCATAATATTCCATTGTGTATAGATACCACAATTTTTGGATCCATTCATCTGTGGTGGGGCACCTAGGTTGTTTCCATATCCTAGCTATTGCGAACAGTGCTGCAATAAACATGGAGGTGCACGTGTCCTTGTATATTGGTTCCTGTTGTTCAGGGTAGATGCCTAGAAGTGGTATGACTGGGTCGTAAGGGAGGTCAATCTTTAGCTTTCTAAGGACCCTCCAGACTGCTTTCCAAAGTGGTTGTATAAGTGTACATTCCCACCAGCAGTGTAATAGGGTTCCTCTTTCTCCACATCCCCTCCAGCATTTGTCGTTGGCTGATTTGTGGATGTGGGACATTCTGACTGGGGTAAGGTGGTATCTCAGGGTTGTCTTTATTTGCATTTCCTTCACCACCAGGGATGATGAACATTTCCTCATGTGTTTCTTTGCCATTTTTATTTCTTCATTTGAGAAGTCCCTCTTTAGTTCCCTTGCCCATTTAGTAATTGATTTGTTAGGTTTGGGAGGGATTAGTTTCTTGAGTTCCCTGTATATACAGGATGTTAACCCCTTGTCTGATATATTGCTGGTAAATATTTTTTCCCAATTAGTTGGTTGTCTTTCTAGCTTAGTTGCGATAGATTTAGCTGTGCAGAAGCTTTTTATTTTAAGGTAGTCCCATTTGTCGAGTCTCTCTCCAACTTGTTGTGACCCTGGGACTCTGTTCAGGAAGTTCCTTCCTGTGCCTATTAGTTCAAGCATTCCTTTTCTTTTAATGCAGATGCAAACAAAGGACTTTTTATTCCCTTCCCCAACCGAGAAATAATAAAGGATTCCCTAACCAGTACTTCTGCAACCCAGGGCAATGGTACACCTGGCCAGAAATCAGACACTTTCCCACTGGGGACACAGGTAATGTATTCATTCTTTTGCTGATAGGATAACTAGCCAAAGGCTAACACTAATAACTTAATGGACTCTCAGTTCTTTATAAAGGTCTAAAAGTACTTGTTTGATATAGGCATTTTGGACCCTCTAAAATGAAAAGGCAAGATAGGATGCCAAAGAGCCTTCTCTGTTAATATCAGTCTCTCACGAATCTCATATAAAATATCTTATTTTTATACATGTAACTAATATGTTTTTTATGTCAAAGTTATTTTAGTGCTCAAAAAGTGATGTGTAACAGTTATAGTTTGGGGCTAGTTATAAACTTCTTTCATGTCTCCATATCCTGTTCCCTATCTTCTTTTTTTAATTAAATTTAATTAATTAATTAATTTATTTATTTTTTGCCGGTCCTGGGGCTTAAACTCAGGGCTCAGGCCTCGTCCCTGAGCCTCTTTGTGCTCAAGGCTAGCACTCTATCACTTGAACCACAGCACCACTTCCAGCTTTTTCTGAGTAGTTTATTGGAGATAAGAGTCTCATAAACTTTCCTGCCAGACTGGCTTCAAATTGTGATCCTCAGATCTCAGCCTCCTGAACAGCTAGGATTACATGTATGAGCCCTGGTGCCTGGCTTCTCATCTTCTTAAATTTTCTGTCTTTACCTTTTGTAATATATATATTATATATATAAAACCCTACATTAATTATACAGCAGGACAGATGACAATGGGAAAGTAGAGATCCTACAAGTTGTGGCAAGAACTAAAAGTAACTAGGGGGCTGGGAAGGTGGCTCAGTGGTAGAGCACTTGCCTTGCATGCATGAAGCCCTGGGTTCGATTCCACAGCACCACATAAGCAAAAAGAAAAAAGCCGGAAGTGGCGCTATGGCTCAAGTGGTAGAGCGCTAGCCTTGAGCTGAAGAGCTGAGGGACAGCTCCCAGGCCCAGAGTTCAGGCCCATGACCGGACCCAAAAAAAAAAACAAAAAAAGAATGAAAAGTAACTAGTTTTCAGTAAAACAAACAAAAAGAAGAACACTTTTCATTGGTTTGTGTTTAAAGCTCTTACTTGGGTGACTTAGAAATGACTTCTACACTCCCCCCACCTTTTTTTTTTCTTTTTTGGTGTTAGTCCCTGGGGCTTGAACCCAGAGCCTGGGTATTGTTCTTGAGCTAGTGCTAGTGCTTGAGCCACAGCTTGACTTCAGCTTTTTGGTGGTTAATTGGAGGTAAGAGTCTCACAGACTTTCCTGCCCAGTCTGACTGGAACCCACAATCCTTAGACCTCAGCCTCCTGAGTAGCTCAGATTACAAGTGTGAGCTACCAGTACCCAGCCTCTATTGCCACTTTTTAAAAATCTTAGACTTAAGGAAAAGGAGATATAGATACAGGCTATTTCAATCTAGAGATTAGGCAATTCTTAGACTTAAAAATTGTGGGTTTTTGTTTGTTTTTGCCAGTCCTGGGGCTTGAACTCAGGGCCTGAGCATTGTCCCTTGAGCCTCTTTGTGCTCAAGGCTAGCGCTCTACCACCTGAACCATAGCCCCACTTCCTGCTTTTTTTCTGTGTATGTGGTACTGAGGAATTGAATCTGGGCCTTTAGGCATGCTAGGCAAGCACTCTATTGTTAAGCCATATTCCCAGCCCCCAAAAATGTTTTAAAACCTAAAAAAAGGAAATAGAAGTGTGGCTCAGGTGGTAGAGGAGCCAGCCTTGCCTGAAAAAGAAAAAAAGCAAAATGAGAGCTTGAGGTCTATGTTCAAGCCCTACTATTGGCAAATAAACAGACAAAAGAAAGGGAAAAAGAAAACTACTCAGAAATTATATTTTGAAGTGAGAGAAAAAGGAAATTGAATCGCTTGCTGTAAGTCTTTTAGCTTAACAAGTAAGGAAGTAGGACTTCTTATTTGTTGTGACTACTGTGAAGACACCAAATACTTCAAGCTACTAATCAAACCTTAGATTGCTTTCTGTTTTGCTTCAGTTCTTGCCTAGTTATGCCTCTGATTGATTCCTAACATATTAAAACTTCTATTAATTCCTGGGGTTGATACTGAGATTTACCAGAACATAAAATAAATATAAAAATCACTTGAACAGAAAAGAGAAAGTTCAAGAAAGTGACCTATCATTTGTATGCTGAGGTATTTGAAGCAGAGAAAATACAGTATTTCAAAGTTCAATATGTCCTTTACTTTCTAAGGATGTTTGGTATTTTCAAAGAGCCTCCTAACCAGCTCTAAAGCAACTCTAGAACCTTGAATTGTGACAAGCTCCACCCTGGGCCTTTGCTTGAGTATCTATTTCCTTTGCTTGCAAGGATGGCCATCTTTACTAACAGGAAAGGACTCTGAACGTGGTCCAGTGAACTCTTGTCTAAATGTCCACAGATGCCCTTCTAAAATTTTTGAACTTTTTTTAGCTACAGGAAGTGACAAGAAGAGAGATACCAAGTGACAACCACCAGGAAGATGGTAAATATTTTGCTCACTGAATAAATATTTTTCTTCATGTTATCAAAGAAATCTGGATGTGATGAAATTAAAAGATGGTGGTGATATAACTGCGGGACCCTGTTTGGCCCGTTTTCTGTTTTCCTGGAAGGGAGAGGAAAGGCGGGAGGGAGAGAGGCAGGGGCACCTTGGATGCTAGTAGCTGGGAGGCTTTTCTGCTCTAAGGGTTGATGTTCTGTCTCCTTTGTTCTTGTCATATTGGTTATTCTGTTTCTTTTTCTTGCTTCTCTTGCCTTCTGAACTTTTTGTGTTATTTTCAAAATGACAATTAGTGTCTTTAACTTTATTTATTTATGAATCTAGGGCTTTTACTTATTAGCTGGCACTCTACCACCTGAGCCATCACCACTAACATAATTTAAAAATTAATCAACATCTTAAGTCTTCCCTTGGATAATTTTTTTTTTTTGGGTCCGGTCGTGGGGCCTGAACTCTGGGCCTGGGTGCTGTCCCTCAGCTCTTCAGCTCAAGGCTAGCCGTCTACCACTTGAGGAACAGCGCCACTTCTGGGTTTTTTTTTTTTTTTTTTTTTGCTTATGTGGTGCTGAGGAATCGAACCCAGGGCCTCAGGCATGCAAGGCAAGAGCTCTACCATTGAGCCACCTTCCCAGCCCTTCCCTTGGATAATTTAACCTTACAGTACTTTTCTCCATTTAATCCCTCCTGACATGTCTTATTCCTATGGATTTTTATTCTTACATGTTTTAAAACCCTACAAGATGTTTTATGCAATGTTTATGTACATTTACCCACTTTGTTTTCTTTTTGCTGATTTTTTTTTTTTTTGGGTCCGGTCGTGGGCCTGAACTCTGGGCCTAGGTGCTGTCCCTCAGCTCTTCAGCTCAAGGCTAGCGCTCTACCACTTGAGCCATAGCACCACTTCCGGCTTTTTTCTTTTTGCTTATGTGGTGCTGAGGAATCGAACTCAGGGCCTCATGCATGCAAGACAAACGCTCTACCACTGAGCCACCTTTCCAGCCCCTGCTGATTTTTTTTTTTTTTTATCCCAAACTTCCCTCTGAGATGATTTTCCTCTAGTTTATGCTACTTGCTTTAGAATTCACTTTAGGCCTTTGGTTATGAAACCCTCATTTCACCATCATTCTTAAATAGCATTCTTGCTGAGTATAGATTTCTAGGTTAACAGTTGTTTCAGAATATTGCAGTTATGGAAGTGGTGCTGTGGCTCAAGCAGTAGAGTGCTCGCCTTGAGCTGAAGAGTGCAGGGACAGCCCAGAGTTCAAGCCCCATGACCGACCAAAACAACCAAAAAAAAAACCCCAGAATATTGCAGTTATTCCACTATATTCTATCTTTTGTGCTTACATTTGAGAAATCAGTTAGCAGTCTATAACTCCTGCAAGGATCATCCATTGCTGCTTTTAAGATTTTCCAGTTTTATTTGGAGTTGAGGTGTGGCTCAACTGGTAGAGCACCTAACAAATACAAAATCCTAAGTTTGAACCCCAGTATAAGAAAGAAAGAAAAAGGGGCTGGGAAGTTGGCTCAGTGGTAGAGCCCTTGCCTTGCATGCATGAGGCCCTAGGTTCGATTCCTCAGCACCACATAAGCAAAAAGAAAAAAAGCCAGAAGTGGTGCTGTGGCTCAAGTGGTAGAGCACTAGCCTTGAGCTGAAGAGCTGAGGGACAGCACCCAGGCCCAGAGTTCAGGCCCCACGACTGGACCCAAAAATAAAAAAGAAAGAAAGAAAAGGCTGGGTGCTGGTGGCTCACGCCTGTAATCCTAGCTACTCAGAAGGCTAAAATGAGGATCATGGTTCAAAGCCAGCCCAGGCAGGAAACTCCATGAGACTCTTATTACCAATAAACCACTAGAAAACCGCAAGTAGCGCTATGGTTCAAGTGGTAGAGCGCTCACCTTGAGCTGAAGAGCGCAGGGACAGCACCCAAGCCCAGAGTTCAAGCCCCATGACTGAAAGAAAGAAAGAGAGAGAGAGAAAGAAAGAAAGAAAGAAAGAAAGAAAGAAAGAAAGAAAGAAAGAAAGAGAGAAAGAAAAAAAGAAAAGAAAGAAAGGAAGGAAGGAAGAAAGAAAAAAAGGAAGGAGGAAGGAGGAAGGAAAGAAAAGAGGAGCTTGGAATGTAGCTTAATGGTAGTGTTTGCCTAGCATGCATGAAGCCCTGGGTTTGATTCCTCAGTACCACATAAACAGAAAATGTTGGAGTGGTGCTGTGGCTCAAGTGGTAGAGTGCTAGCTTTGAGCAAAAGCAGCTCAGGCACAGCACTCAGGCCCTGAGTTCAAGCCCCAGGACTGGCAAAAAGAAAGAAAGAATAGAAAAGAAAATGAAAAGGAAAGGGAAAAAAGAAAAAAGGGGAGGGAGGGAGGAAGGAAGGAAGAAAGGAAGGAGGAAAGAAAGAAGAAAGAAAAGAGAAAACATCTTCAACAGGAGAACAGTCTAAATTATCTGTTCTTGAAATAGAAATCCCTTGTCATCAAGAGTAAAGCAGACTTAATGTTATTGCAAGTAGTCTAAAAAGAAATCAGAGACCAACTATTCTCTATAGACTCCATGCATAAAATCACAACTACCATCATATGAAGGTGTACTAAATATCTAGAAACTACCATTTGAGGAGGAAATTCCTAGGGAATTTGTCTGAAAAGAAATTTATCTTCAGAGTGTTACAGGCTCTTTCTTGTTTACTCAAACATCTCATACGTTTTGGTATCTATGTGAAAGACCCTTCATCACTTTATGATACCATTTGTCAAATTAGAAACTGCCTTTCTCAGAGATACCCCAGCTGAACCAAGAAGAATCCTCATGATGCTTTGTTTTGTTTTCCTTTGGTGGAGACAGAATTCAAACGCTACTCACCTTGTCAGTGCACAGTCCGATCCCCAGAGAAGATGAGCAGGGATGGGTACCGAGTATCCTTTTTGGACAGCAAGAGTTCAGTTTCTTCTCCAGAAAAGGACTTGTTAGGAACACCTGATACCTACCAACTTCCCCATGATGACTCATTGAGTAAACGTCTAGATGTGGGTGACTCCAGCCAGATCCATCCTTATCAGATACCTTCCAATGTCGGTCTGGAAAATTATGATGGTCATTATTCTCAAACTCTACCCCTGCACGGAAGTCATGGTAAAAGGCCCCAGAGAAGCAAGAACTTCCGAGAGTATAACATAAAGCCTTCAAATGACATAAAAGCTGCCACATCCCATCCCTGTGGAGATTTACTGATGTCTTTGTCAAACCCAGACTCCAGCACCGGAAGGCTTTTGAAGCTTAGTTCAGGTAATAGCTTCTTTTTAGTTCATATGGCTTTGTTATAGGCATGAAGATAGAAGGTATAACTGGAAATTTTGATATTGGCATTTCTCAAATTTTACGAGCAATTGGGAAGGGATGGGAAGGGGAAACAAAGGAGGAGGCTACAATGCTTGATAAGAAATGTACTCATTATCTTGCCCATGTAATTGTAACCCCTCTGTTCAGTATTTTCACAATTAAAAATTACGAGCATTTAAAAAATTGTATTTCAGGGTCACCAGAGGTCCATGGAACTTCTAAACCTCTTCAGGGTATGAGTTTAGCATGACAAATATGTGAGAGAAAATGCGTAGGAAGGTGAGCTTCAGCACTACCTGTCATTTTAGTTGAGTAGCCTTCCGAAGACCTATTTGTAGCAGCATCTAGTCTTCTCTCTGGCCATAGTCACTGCTATTCTGAGTTACTTTTAAAAAAAATGCTTATTTCAGGATAAGGATGAAGATTATTCTTCAACTACTTATTAATTTAGCCAGTAAAATTCACTAAACATCTGTTATGTGCAGAGATTTTTTTTAGCTCTAGATAATGTAGCAAAATAAAAAAGTCCCATGTATATGTTAACATAATGTTTCAAACGTCTCTACATTCGTGGAACTTACATGTTAATAAAGTAAGACAGATGATAAGCAAGTTAACATATGGACATCTCAGGTGATGTTAAGGTCTGGGATGAAAAGTAAGTGTATAGAAAATAATAAGAACAAAGTGGTATTTAAATTAAATGATCCAGGGCATCATAAAAGTAAAGATTTGAGGGACAAGTCTGGTGGGTGGCAAATGTCACCTGGTACTAAAGAAAAATGTAGACTTGAATGAAGTTGAAAGTATTGTTATGTGGATACCTGGGGTTTGAACTTTCTAAATCGCATACAAGTGCAGTTTTTGAGGCTGGAACATGCTTAGTATGTTCAGGGAATGTCAAGGAACCCCCCCTGAGTACAGTGAATATACTGAAGGGTATAGAGGAAGTTAGAGAAGATGACTAGCCTTTTTTTCTGGATTAGGCTATAAGTTGTAGAAGCAGAAGAGTAATCTTCCTTAAGAATCACTGGATTAGCCAGGCACCAGTGGCTCACGCCTATAATTCTAGCTACTCAGTAGGCTGAAATCTGAGGGTCATAGTTCAAAGCCAACCCCCAGCAGGAAAGTCTGTGAGACTCTTATCTCCAATTAACCACAAGAAACCGGAAGTGGCACTGCGGCTCAAGTGGTAGAGTGCTAGCTTGAGCTGAGGAGCTTGGGGACAGGGCCCAAGCCCAGAGTTCAAGCTTCACCACCAAAGAAGAAATTGGCTGTGAGCAAGCACTGGTAATCCTAGCTACTCAGGAGACTGAGTATTGGGGTTTGAAGCCAAGGCAGGAAAGTCTCCAATTAACCACAAAAAAGCCACAAGTGGAGCCAGAGTTGTGGCTTAAGTGGTAGAATACTAGCCTTGAACAAAAAACAAACAAAAAGCTCAGGAATAGAGGCCAAGCCATGAATTCAGCTCTAGGACCAGCACACACACACACACACACACACACACACACACACACACACACAGAGTATAGATTACATTAAAACTGAGACTGGATTAAAATCTCACCTAGAGAGTGAATATAGATAAGAAAGAGACCTGAGGACTGGACCTGAGCTATCCAAGAATTTGAAAGATGATACAGCACACAGAGTGCAAAAGAAGCAACCTGTAAAAGGGTGCTGCCTCAAAACCAAGTGTGAAGTGTTTCAGGGAGAAGATAGCACTAGTGCTGTGTCAGATCTCTGGGAGGAGTCAGGACTGGGGAGTGGCCGTGCTGGTTGGCAATACCAATGATATTAGCAAACAGCCTCGGGAGATATGTGGAAATAAAAGCTTCATTGAGATGAGTTCAAGAAAAACTTGGAAGTATAGCAATAGAGTTACTAAACATACACAAACCCTTCAGCAGGAGCAGAGAAATGGAGCTGGAGGAGCGCTGAGGGCCTGAGAGGCTGATAGAAATGCTCTATGAGAGAATATTGAAAATGGATGCAGCAGAGAATGCAGACAATTATGAGGAAAAATAACAATATCCTTGAGTAGAGAAGAAGAGATGGAATGTATCCCATCAATGGAGAATAGCCGTAGATGAAGCACTGACAGTTCATCTGTTCAATCAAGGGGGCAGAGAAGTTATGGTTACAAATTTACAATTCAGTTGATAGCTTCAGTAGTGGGATCCAGTAAGCTTTGTGTGTTTGTGTGTGTGTGTGTGTGTGTGTGTGTGTGTGTGTGACAGTCAGCACTAGGGCTTGAATTCAAGGCCTTGAGATCTCACTTGGCTTCATCAGCCATAGCTGGTGTTCTACCACTTAAGCCATACCTCCCAATCCAGCTTTTTTTTTTTTATTTTTATTTTTTTGTCAGTCGTGTGGCCTGAACTCTGGGCCTAGGCGCTGTCCCTCAGCTCTTCAGCTCAAGGCTAGCGCTCTACCACTTGAGCCACAGTGCCACTTCCGGCTTTTTTCTTTTTGCTTATGTGGTGCTGAGGAATCGAACCCAGGGCCTCATACATGCAAGGCAAGCGCTCTACCACTGAGCCACCTTCCCAGCCCCCCCCAGCTTTTTTTTTGGATTAGTTGGAGATGTGTTTCTTGGCTTTATCTGCCTACGTTGGCTTCATATTTTTTCACTCATCAGATCTCAGCCTGCTGAGTAGCTAGGATTATGGGCAGGAGCCACCAGCACCCAGCTTCCAGTGGATAATTTATTTGTTTATTTTCCTGGTACTGTGGTTTGAACTCAGTACCTCCTGCCAGAGCCAGCTTCAAACCACAATCCTCAGATATCAGCCTCCTGAGTGGGTAGGATTGATTACAGGCACCAGCACTTGGCTATTAGTAGTAGTAGTGGTAGTATTTTGATTGCCTATGTTTTCTCAGTGAAAACAAGGTCAGCATCCGAGAAGGAAGGAAGATTAGTGCTGGAACTTGAAGAAAAAAAGAGATGTAAAAGTATCTTCTCAAGATATAGAAAAGTGACTCATATATTTAAAAAAAAAAAAAAAAGAAAGATGTGCAGTACTAAGGGTCCAGACAAGCTAGTGAGGAAGGTCAGGACAGAGGCCTATTGAATCCAGTGTAGTAGTACACATCTAGAATCCCAGCTTCACAGGATGCGTAGGTAAGAGGATCCCAGCCTGAGATTCATCCTGGTTAAAAAGAGGATAAGATCTTATCGGAAAAACAACCAAGGCAAAACAAAAGAGCTAAAGGTATGACCTCAAGTAGTTGAGTACCTGCCTACTAAGGCAAGGATCTGAGTTCAAATTCTAACACTGCCAAAAACAAAAACAGTCTCATTCTGCTGCTGTGGGCTAGGCTTAGAGTATGTGGACACCTGGATGTAACCAGAGTTGAGTTTTTCCCAGGTAGAAGGAGAGCAAGTTTCCAAGAGTTGAGATATGCTGGGAAGTAGTTATTATTATTTGGACTCCACATTAAATACTGATGGGCGTGAGACAGACACTGGGAAGCTGAAAGGCAAGTTCATTTCCTGATTTCTTTTCCTCCGCAGATCTGTATGCCGCCACCCATTTCAACAGTGACCCTGCTCTGCTGGTCAGTGTTGAGCACCAATTATCCAGCAGCCTCGGTGATTTAACACCAGCACGTGGTTCTTTCCCAAACAACCCTGTCCTGGGAAATGCTCCTAGAACACTGCTGTTGCCTCCTGGGACGTCAGAAGACAGAGAAATTCTGGCCAGGAGGTCATTAAGCCCAACAAGGAGAGGATTCAAGCGGAAGGACAATATTTTTGCCAACCTGAATCCGAAGCATGGTTTCCAAGATGCTACAGGCATCGAGGCAAGTGTTGGCTTGTTTGGGAATGTACAAGAAACACATAGGCTCCACCACCAGCAGGGGTTCTGTTGGGAATCACGGTAATTCTGACCAAGAGGCTGAGAGATTTTTAGAGGCCTATGGCTAAAATCCCAGGCTAAAATCTGTGATTCTTTCTACCCTTGGGAAAGTCACATGTCCACTTCATACCCACTGCCCTGCAAAGGATCTGTCCCGATCTACTTCCAGAGCTAAAGATGGTAGGGAAGCACTTTGGTATTAAGAGTTTTTCTCTTTTTAGTTTTTAAGTACTTTGGTAATAAGAGTTTTTAGCAAGGGAAAGAAATGAGGAAGTTGCTGGCTAGCTGAAGATCTCTGAAACATGGATGGCTTTAAATAATCTCATTGGATTTATACTTTTTTTTTTCAGCCACAAGTGACTAACTTGAAATAGTTTCTATAAAAGCATTTCTTTGTGCTAAGCACTGGTGACTCATTCCTAGCTACTCTGGAGGCTGAGATCTGAAGATCAAAGTTCAAAGCCAGCCTCAAGCAGGAAAGTCTATGAGACTCTAATTAACCACAAAAAGCCAGAAAAAGAGCAATAGTTTAAGTGGTACACTACAAGCCTTAACCAGAAAGAAAGCCAAGTGAGAACACAAGGCTCTGAGTTCAAGTCTCACTACTGGCATCAGAAAAGGATAAATTAACTTTCTTTAAAAAAAAAAAAAAAAAAAAGGTGGGGGGCAGACACGAGTGGCTCACGCCTGTGATCCTAGCTACGCAGGAGGCTGAGATCTGAGGTTCATGGTTCAAAGCCAACCCAGGCAGCAAAGTCCTTGAGAGTCTTATCTCCAATTAACCACCAGAAAACCAGAAATGGTGCTGTGGCTCAAGTGGTAGAGTGCTCGCCTTGAGCTGAAGAGCTCAGGGACAGCACCCAGGCCCAAAGGTCAAGCCCCATAACTGACAAAAAAATAAAAAAGCATTGCTTTTCTTTGCTTTCTAGAAATTCAAACAATTCTTCCCCTCCCCCCTCCCCAAAGTAAGTAGCAGCAAGGAGATAAATTAGTTAGATTATCCAGGGAACTTTTTAGCTAAAGGATGGTACAGAGAATTAATACAAAATTAAGAGTGAGGGGCTGGGAAGGTGGCTCAGTGGTAGAGCGCTTGCCTTGCATGCATGAGGCCCTGGGTTCGATTCCTCAGCACCACATAAGCAAAAAGAAAAAAGCCGGAAGTGGTGCTGTGGCTCAAGTGGTAGAGCGCTAGCCTTGAGCTGAAGAGCTGAGGGACAGCGCCCAGGCCCAGAGTTCAGGCCCCACAACTGGACCAAAAAAACAAACAAACATGTGATTCCCACATATCTAATTCATTGTAAATAAAGTCTCTTGGGCTTTTCTGCCAGGCTGACTTTGAACCATGATCCTCAAATGTCAGCTTTCTGAGTAGCTAGGATTACAGGCATATGCCACCAGCACCCAGTTTATGTTGGGTCTGGCCTGCACTGTGATCCTCCTATTTGTACTTTCTTTGTTGCTGGTATGATAGGCATGAACCACTGTTTTCAGCCTTGGTTTGGATGGAGTTTTAGAGACTTTTATGCCCAGGCTGACCTCAAACCTCAGTTCCCCAATTTCTACCTCTCAAAAAGGTAGGATTACAGGCTTGAGCCACCACACCCAGCTTTGTGTTTTTGTTTTTGATTCTTAATACTTCATCTTCAGTTTTTATAACTTTGGAAGTGGTTATAATTTCCATGCACCAAAGGGGGCGGTCTTGTAATACTTTCTATAACTTTTTATCTCTCTCTTCTCCCCCTCCCCCCTACCATTTCAGCCTATTTTATCAAACAAAATCACTGTGTGTGAGTGCATTTAGGGTAGAGACAGACCAATCAGGATATTTGGGATGCCATATTAGTAGGATTGTCTACAGACTTTTTTTCATATTTATTTCATTTTATATTGCTAAAATGTCAATGCATTTTCTGGACTACCTTTAAAACTCTCATCTCTTTATTATCAGATACTGGGTTTCTTTACATGGAAAGCTTTCAAAGACCTATCTGAATATAAATATAAAAAGACAACCTTTTTTGGTTGGGATTAGTTACCTGTAAGTAGAACCCAGGGACTTGTACATGCTAGGCAAGTGATCTACCACTATGCTGAATATATCTGGAGTCTCTGATTATAAATATAAAAGGGCATCGGTGGCTCATGCCTGTAATCCTAGCTACTCAGGAGGCTGAGATCTGAGGATCATGGTTCAAAGCCAGTCCGGGCAGGAAAGTCTGTGAGGCTCTTATCTCCAATAAACCACTCTGAAAACCTGAAGTGGCGCTGTGTCTCAAGTGGTAGAGCACTAGCCTTGAACTGAAGAGCTCAGGGACAGCACCCAGGCCCACAGTTCAAGCCCCATGACCGACAAAAAACAAAAAAAAGTAATATGCCACAAGCCAGAAAGCTTCTGAAAAGAAAATCTGTCATTCCAGCTCTGCATATTAGCACAAATAGGAGGATCAAAGTCCTGGACAAAAAACTTATCCAAAAGAGGGGGGGGGGGGAAACACTTAGTTTTATTTTTAACTCAAGAAAAAAAGGGAAGCCAGGCACAGATGGCTCACACCTGTAATCCTACCTACTCAGGAGGCTGAGATGTGAAGATCATGGTTCAAAGCCAGCTGGAGCAGGAAAGTCCATGAGACTCTTATCCTCCAATAAACCACCAGAAAACCGGAAGTGGCGCTGTGGCTCAAGTGGTAAAGCCTTGAGCTGAATTGCTGAGGGACAGTGCTCAGGTCCAAAGTTCAAGGCCCACAACGGACAAAAAAATAAGGGCTAGGGGTATGGTCATACCCCTGCCTGCCTAGAGTACCTGCCTAGTAAGTGAAAATCCATGAGTTTAAACTCCAGTCCCATGAAAAAAATTACAGGATATTTATGTTTATTATATAACATATTAAAAGATTATTGTGAATTAGAACATCTTATTACTCTCAATTTTCCTTTTTTTTTTTGGTGCCAATGTTAGGGCTTGAACTCAGGGCCTGGGTGATATCCCTTAGTTTTTTTGCAAAGGCTTTCACTCTCCATCTTGAGCCATAGTTTCAGGTCTGGCTTTTTAGTGGGTAATTGGAAATAAGAGTCTCTGAGATTTGTCTGCTGGGCAGGCTTTGAATCATGATTCTTAGATCTCAGCCTCCTGAGTCGCTAGGATTACAGGCGTGAGACCCTGGCACCAGGACTTGAGTTTTACTTTATAATTTCTAAGTGTTCTCTAGTGTCATCTTTCTATATTACATAATATATTGAAAAATAATGTTAGTGTTGATGCATTGTTATTGTTATTATATTCTGAGAATCCCTATAGAAAATAATAATAGGAGATACTATTACCTTTGAACTTGTCCTTGAATATCTTAAATGTTTGCCTTGGACATAAATAGTGCATTATTCAAATTAAAACTGAAAGATGAAACCTTTCTTTTAAAAAAAATTAATGTTTTAAATGTCTGGAATCTTACTTCCCTTATTGTGTAAGAATGACAAATGGTTGGAGGGTTTTGCTTTTTTTTCTTGAGCCTCTCTCAAGTGACCTGGGCAGTTTGCATGGTTTGCCAGGAAACCACAGTCCCCCAATCTCTGCCAGAACCCCTCATGTGGCCACTGTCCTCAGACAGCTCCTGGAGCTTGTGGATAAGCACTGGAATGGCTCTGGTTCACTCCTCCTCAACAAGAAATTTCTCGGTGAGTGTATGTCGTCTTGTGTCTGGTGAGGGTGGGACTTTGCTTCTGCTTAGTGCTCGGCTAAAAGCCACAGAGCTTCAACTTGCAAGGAAAATTGATCTTGTATCTATTATGAAACTTTTTAAAAGACACCATGGTTAAAAAGTCTGCATTTTTCTTACATTTATATTTTCTTTTTAAAATGAGCACTCTTTCTGCTTGTTATTGAGCAATTGTTTTGTCCCTCCTTTAAGAGTATATGATATGTGTATGTACACATATGCATGTGTGTGGGTGTGGGTGTAGTCTTTGGTAACATATAGAATGGCCAGATATGTATAATAGTGATCATACTAATAATTACAAAAAGATTTTATGCCGGGCGCCGGTGGCTCACGCCTGTAATCCTAGCTACTCAGGAGGCTAAGCTCTGAGGATCAAGGTTCAAAGCCAGCCCAGGTGGGAAAGCCTGTGAGACTCTTATCTCCAGGAAACCACTAAGAAAACACTGTGGCTCAAGTGGTAGAGTGCTAGCCTTGAGCTGAAGAGCTGAGGGACAGCGCCCAGGCCCAGAGTTCAAGCCCCATTACCGACCAAAAAAAAAAAGGTTTAATCTCCTTGAGAGATACATTAGTCAGTAATGAATACAACAGAAATTAGGTCTGATTATCCCAGTTCTGAGATGACTATTATAATGTTATGATCTAAATTACCCAAGTAAATAAATGGCCTGGACTCTTTTGAGGGATTGTTTTTGAAACATGGAGAAAAGATAGTTTTGCAAATGTTGGCTTCACGTGTTTATTTGTTGTTTAATGGGAGAAGAATTCAAAGAACTTTCACTTGTTAGCAAAATAAAGTTTAAGTAACAACTAAAAACTTTCAAGTGGTTTGTGCTGGGAATTTATTATTATTATTATTATTTCTAAGGGCTGAAGGTTTAGTTTAGCATTTGCCTAGCTTATATGAGACTCTGGGTTTGATTTCCCCAACACTGAAAAACTAAAATAGAGAAGTCACAGTCAATGATATCCGTGTTGACTTACTGCTCCCATTTTATAGGAAAATAGTGCTCTGTAGCCATTGATGAGTGACTCAGGAAGGCTTGTGCTTTCCTCCTCAGAGCAAGTGGGGTATTGCTTCTTATTCACATTAAGTACCTCTTACCAGTCACTTACTAAATTCTTGGGGAAAGGAGATCATTAGATGATAGAGCTGGTAATTGTTGCCTAGGAATCCTGTGCCTTAGTTTTTAAGCTTGGCTGCTGTGCCCAACCTGAATTTTTGGCAGGTCCTGCCCGAGATTTGCTTCTGTCTTTGGTCGTCCCTGGTCCTCCTCAGCAGTGGGGTCGCATCCATCCTGAAGATGCCGGGAAAGCCTTCCGCAGGCGGGACAGTGACTCAAAGGAGGCTGGACAGCTGGTCCCTAGTGATGTGGTATGGCTCACTCACCCTTCTCTCTCCACTTTACTAGAAAAGGGCAGAGACAGGTAATCATTACCTATACCTAGGAGGCAAAATATGGGAGAGTCAGGCTGGACAACTCAGGAACACAAAACTTGGCAGGATGGAGACAACTTGGAGGTTCTATAGGGATGACTCCCTTATTCTAATCCAAATCACAAAGGAAAGGGAAGGGGAAGTAAATGGCTGGGTGCTGGTGGCTCACATCTGTAATTCTAGCTACTCAGGAAGCGGAAATCTGAGGGTTGAAGTTCAAAGCCAGTCCAGCAGCTGGGCACCAGTGGCTCACACCTGTAACCCTAGCTACTCAGGAGGCTGAGATCCGAGGATCACGGTTCAAAGCCAGCCCGGGCAGGAAAGAGACTCTTATCTCCAATAAACCACTCAGAAAACTGGAAGTGGCTCTGTGGCTCAAGTGGTAGAGAGCTAGCCTTGAGCTGAAGAGCTGAGGGACAGCACCCAGAGTTCAAGCCCCATGACTGACAAAAAAAAAAAAAAGCCAGTCCAGCAGAAAAGTCTATGAGATTCTTATCTCCAAAAAAGCCACAGTGGAGGGCTGGGAAGGTGGCTCAGTGGTAGAGTGCTTGCCTTGCATGCATGAGGCCCTGGGTTCAATTCCTCAGCACCACATAAGCAAAAAGAAAAAAGCCAGAAGTGGTGCTGTGGCTTAAGTGGTAGAGCGCTAGCCTTTAGCTGAAGAGCTGAGGGACAGTGCCCAGGCCCAGAGTTCAGGCCCCATGACCGGACCCCAAAAAAAAAAAAGCCACAGTGGAACTATGGCTCAAGTATTAGAGCACTAGCTGTGAGCACAAAAGCTAATGGACAGAATCCAGGCCCAAAGTTCAAGCACCAAGAGTAGCTCGTGCAAGCACACACACACACACACACACACACACACACACACACACACACACACACACAGAGCAAGTAAGAAATGCATATGGTAGAGTAGATTCGCACTGGTGGCTCTTGCCTATAATCCTAGTTATTCAGGAAGCTGAGATCTAAGAATCTCAATTTAAAGCCAGCCCAGGCAAGAAAGTTCATGAGAGTCTTAGCGCCAATTAACTACCAGAAAACCAGAAGTAGACCTGTGGCTCAAGTGGTAGAGCACTAGCTTTGAGCAAAAAAGCTCAGGGACAGCACCCAGGCCCTGAGTTCAAGTCCCCAACCTACAAAAAAAACAAAAATGTTTTGTTTGAATCCGGTCGTGGAGCCTGAACTCTGGGCCTGGGTGCTGTCCCTCAGCTCTTCAGCTCAAGGCGAGGGCTCTACCAGTTGAGCCACAGCGCCACTTCTGGTTTTCTGGGGGGGGGGGGGGGGTTATTGGAGTCTCATGAACTTTCCTGCCCAGGCTGGCTTTGAACCTCGATCCTCAGATCGCAGCCTCCTGAGTAGCTAGGATTACAGGTGTGAGCCACTGGCGCCCGGGTAACCAAAAACAAATTTTTTTAAGTGCATAGTGTCATGCTCTTGAAGGAAGATTATGGTGTGGCCAGTAAGGGATGGCAGAGGCCTCAGAGATTGTCCTTTCTCCCTTCTAATGGAGCCAGGAAGTGAGATCAGAGGCCAGAGGCCAGGCTATAGCATCAGGCTGCTGAATCTGAAAAAAACAAAACAAAAACAAAAAAACAAAACTGATACTCCCAAGCTTCTCTCTTTTGTTAACATTTTACAGGATATTTAAACACCAAGTTCGGTTCTAGAAACTTTGAACATCTCAGAATTCCAGCCACCACCTGTTCAGCAAGAGTCGTGGATAATCCGCAGAAAGACCATGACTCCATATGATAAATTGGTTCACTGCACTTGAGCAGTGTCTACCAATGAACTGAAGTTGTAGTGAGAAAGTCCCACTGATGCTGGCTTCAACAAGTTAGCATTAATTAGAGGAAGAGACTCTCAATCCTCCTCTAAACACCTTCCTCAAGGTTTCAGATTCTTAATGTGGTGGTGTTTTGTTTTCTGATCTAAAGGAAAGTTTGAAACAAAAACTGGTCAGAGTGCTGGAGGAAAACCTTATTTTGTCAGAAAAAATTCAGCAGCTGGAGGAAGGTTCTGCCATCTCAATTGTGAGTGGTCACCAGTCCCATACACACGGTAAGTTCAGGAAGGTTCCTTATGGAACTTCCCAAAGTAACATATTTAAGCAGCTTCAGTAGCCACAAGAGCTATATTTGGCTTGCTCTAATTATTTTTCCTTGTGCATTAAAGGAAACTATCAGCTTTCCTTAGCTTTTTTATTTGTTTAGGGAATACTGGGGATTGAACTCAGAGCCTTGTGCTTGCAAGGCAGGCATTCTTCCATTTCACCCATGCCTCTAGCCTCTTTTTGCATTTTTTAAAAATTTTTTTATTTTTATTTTTTGTCGATCATAGGGCTTGAACTCTGGGCCTGGGCACTGTCCCTTAGCTCTTCAGCTCAAGGCGAGTGCTCTACCACTTGAGCCAAAGCACCACTTCCAGCTTTTTCTGCTTATGTGGTGCCAAGGAATCGAACCCAGGGTCTCATGCATGCAAGGCAAGCACTTTACCACTGAACCACCTTCCCAGCCCTTTATTTTGGTCTTTTATAGGTTTTTTTCCCCCCAGATCTGAGGACTGAACTCAGAGCCTTACACTTGCCAGGCAAGTGCTCTTCCACTGAGCTAAATCCCCAACCCCTTTGATGGTTAATTGAAGAAATGAGTTTCATGGACTTTCCCACCCAGACTGGCTTCAAACCATGAATCTCAGACCTCAGCCTCCTAAGTAACTAGGATTACAGGCATGAGCCACCAGCACCATGCTTTTGGCATTATTTTTGAGGTCAGATCTTATTTATTCCCCAGCCAAATTGAGCTGTGAACATTCTGCGTGTCTCCCCTGTCTTTGGGAATGATAGGTATGTGCCACTGCAGTCAGACACTATGCTCCACAGGAGCTGAGATAACAGGCCCAGGCCACAGTCCCCGGCCATTGGTTGAGATGGAATCCCTAGAATTTTTATGTACTGGCTGGCCTCAAACCCCAATCCTCCATCTCTACCTCCCAAGTAGCTAGGATGACAAGTTTAAGCCACCATGCCTGGCCTATTGCCATTACTTTGGAGAATTATATTTGTTTTTGTAGTTACAGGAGTAGAACATGTTCTCTATAGAAAATATAGCCACATGCCCTGGTACTGTTACTGATGTTTTTCTGTATTTTCTTCCAACTTATCCTCATACATATAGGTTTGACTCAAAACTAAAACTTGTGTCCTAATTTTTTTGTTGTTGTTGGATATGAGGCTTGAACTCAGGGCCTGGGCACTGTCCCTAAGCTCTTCAGCTCAAGGTTAGCACTCTACCGCTTGAGCCACAGCACCACTTCTGGTTTTCTGATTGTTTATTGGAAATAAGTCTCACAGACTTTCCTGCCTGGCTGACTTTGAACCGTGATCCTTAGATCTCAGCCTGCTGAGTAGTTAGGATTACAGGCATGAGCCACTGGCACTCAGCTTGTCCTGATTTTTAATAATTTATGTACAACAAAATGCACATCTTGAGTTTGATCCTAGTCAAAATACAGCACATTTCCAGAAAGTTCCCTGGTACCCTCAGCAATCAGTTTCCCTGACTCTCCACACCCAGCAATCAGAGACATTCTAATATTATAAATATAATAGCATAGGCAGGCACGCCCTGCAATTGCACCATGTTTAACTAATTGCTTTTAATTCTTTGTTATTATAAACAAAGCTGCCATTACTTGTATTGATAGTTTAATAAATATAATTATAGAGAGAATCTGAGTAATTCTAAAGAGTTTCCAAAGTAGAAGTCACTCCACAATGAAAATGCTTCTCTCAGATCATGTTTCTTCCCTTCTGATGGAGTTGAAAGTCCAAATGTTTATACTATCATAAATAATACAATAAATATCTATGCACAAACCTTTGTGTACATGTTAGACTATTTTCCTAGGAGATGTTCCTAGAAGTAGAATTAGTGTACCAAAAGCTATGGGCACTTGTGAGACATTTGTTCCATACTGCCAAATCACTCTCAAGAAAGGTGATTGTCTTTTACCCTCACAGTAGCAGTGTAAATGCCCTATTTACTCTATCACTGAGTAGTTTTTTTTAATGTTTTTGTCATGTGACAAGTGAAAGATAGAACCCCATTTAAGTCTTGCTTTGCACTACTTCCAGGCCAGTATTTTAGATTATCTTCTATCAACGTTAAGCCTCTAGCTTAGCTTCCCTAATCAAATAACAGGCATCAGGATTGCTGTGAAGAACTTGATTTGGAAGCACTGAAGTCCATTGCTAAATCTCAGTGCCATCTGATATTTACAAGCTCAGTCTCCACTTGCCTATTCTGAAAAGGAGTAGGTATCTGGACATCCTTTCATCCTTTCAATCAGCCATGAGGCCTGGTATAGCATTTTGACTGCCAAAACCCTTCCAGAATCTTGCTACTTAAAAACTGATCCACATTAGCCAGAATCCACCTTCCAGAATCTTACTACTTAAAAACTGATCCACATTAGCCTCACCTGGGAGCTTGTTAGACAAGTAGAATATTGAGGCTCTTCTCAGACTTACTGAATTGGCATCTATTTTTAACAAGATCCCTGATGATTGGTAGGCATATTAACTTTTCAGAAACATTTTTCTAGAAGACTGGCTCTTTTGGGTCAGGTTCTTGTGCTTTTCTTACTTCATTATAGCAGGCATTGGTAGCATATTTACAGAGGTAGGTATGAATGTCTTAACCACAAATTCCTTGTCTGTAAGCCCCTTGTTGAGTTCTTACTTTGTACCTGACAGCATTCTAGATATTTTCACAAACCACTCAGAGAAGGACATACATTCACAAGCCAGAATGGAGAATTCAGAGGGCCTAATGTTTGCTGACTGCCTATGCTCAGCGAGGTCTTGTAGTCTCCCTGAATCCTCATAGTAAAACTCAAAAGATGAACTTCCATGTATAATACTAAGTGCTTGAATTTTAATTCAACTTTGTTACTAAACCCCATTATTCTTGCCAATATAAACTCCCACTAAAGGCAATCACCTGGGATCCTACTCACCTCTGGCTACTGTACCCTTTGTAGATGATCTTCTGCGCAAAAACCAACAGCTGACCATGCAGGTGACTTGCCTGAACCAAGAACTTGCCCAGTTGAAAAAGCTAGAGGAGACAGTTGCCCTTCTTCATGAAAGTCAGAGGTAGGAGGAGGTCTGTCTCATTGACTTCTAGAAGTACATGTTTACTTCTCTTTATCTCTTCTGCTTTGCTTGCAGAGTTAATATTTTTCTTCATGTTAACAATAGTCTATGTGTATAAACCTCCTAAATCTGGCCAGGAAACTTCAGGGAGGCAAGGTGCTGCTTTTCAGTACTGCTTTTGTACGCCATGGACTTAAGCATTGGTGTGTTATAACACCTTAATTTTACAGGGTCTAACAGGACCTTTGGGTCAGGTAATTTTTTTGGACACTTGTACCCCTAAACTCAGCCATCTGGCTCCTTTGGAAAATGTCTGCCAGCTAATGGTCATAGACGATGAATCGAGAACACTCAGAAGTGGGGAGTAAGAGGGAAAGAATCCAAACTATGCATCCTCTTCAGAGTCACTCAGTAATACCAGCCTCTTCACAGAAGAGCATGTTAGGATGCAGGCTGGGAGACCTGGGGGAGCCCTCAAGACCTTAGGAGCACTGGTAAAGTTTAATTAGTGTATCTAATCATGGGTTTTATGATGATTTTCTTTCTTTTTCTTTTTCTTTTTTGTCAGTCATGGGGCTTGAACTCTGGGCCTGGGCACTATCCCTCAGCTCTTCAGCTCAAGGCAAGCGCTCTACCACTTGAGCCATAGCGCCACTTCCAGTTCTCTGGTGGTTTATTGGAGATAAGAGCTTCGTGGACTTTGCTGCCTGAGCTGGCTTTGAACCATGATCCTCATATCTCAGACTCCTAAGTAGCTAGGATTACAGGCATGAGCCAGTAGCCCTGGGCTTATGATGATATTATCCTTGGAATTTTGATTTGGCCCATATACCTCTTCAAATAGAATAGTGCTGTAACACACAGCATTGTGTATGCATCACTTTTATAGCCAATGTGTGGGGTGGCTTTTAGCACTACAAAATAATAGAAAAAGCAGTGACAGCTAGCACTGGTTAGTTGAAGAGAACAGATTAGAAGAGACTCTGATTTAGGAGTAGAAATTAGAGGCCTGATCAGGAGCCAAAATCCTAGTGCTTGCACTTAGCTCATCATGAAAGGGCTTTTGGGAAGAAGAGAGAAATCACTCTCAAACATAGGAAATATCTGGAACCCAGTCAAACAGAATTGTAAAGATGAAACGGGTAAGTCTGCTTTTAAAATAACCCACTCATAACCTGAACACTGGTGTTGAAAGATGTTACATTTGTCTTTAGCCGACATTTCAGACCTGAATGGCGGCGTCTTCCCTTTCCTGATTTCATGACTGCCTTTTCCCCCTGGCTGCAGATCCCTGGTGGTAACTAATGAATATCTACTGCAGCAGCTGAATAAAGAGCAAAAAGGTTATTCCGGGAAGGCGCTCCTGCCTCCTGAGAAGAGTCACCACCTGGGGAGATCATCGCCCTTTGGGAAGAGCACATTATCTTCCTCCTCACCAATGGCACACGACACGGGTCAGTACCTAATACAGAGTGTCTCAGAAGCTGCGCCAGAGCCTAGTTTGTGGAGCTAGCATGGAACACCTTCACCGCCGCCTCCCTCTGGTCCCCGGAGGACTCAGCCATCACCACAGTGTGGTGGTGTTTACCCCCAAAGATTAAGAAAAAGCTTATTTGGATTACATTGTGTTGTCCCTCTGTTATAATTTTTCTTTTCTTTTCTTTTTCTTTTTTGGTGCAGGTCCTGAGACTTGAACTCAGGCCCAGGCACTATACCTAAGTTTTTGCTCAAGGCTAGCAGTCTACTTCTTGAGCTACAACTCCACTTCCAGCTTTTTGGTGATTAATCAGAGATATGAGTGTCACAGACTTTCCTGCCCAAGCTGGCTTTGAACAGCAATCATCAGATCAGCCTCCTGAGTTGCTAAAATTATAGGAGGATTATGGTGCCTGACTATAATTTCTCTACTATCTCCATCCATTGGGTCATTTTTTTCTCCTTCTACTCTCAGAAATTGTTAGTCTTAGGCATCATATCACACAGATGCATTTGACTGAAAACGTTGAAAAGGAAAAAAAATACTGGGCACTTTGCCACAGCCACTCAAAACTGTGGTAGAAAGATGCAAGATAATGTCTATCAGGTGTCTTCTGTATCAGAAGAAATTTTAGAGATTCTATATTGATTCACTAAATGTGGTATTTCTTCATGCCATAGTAAAAACGTGACATGTCTAGTGTCTATCCTAGAGTGGCCCACTATTTAGTCAGGGAGAAGGGCTCACTATACCACGTGATGGAGCTTGATGCTTGAGATTGGTTCCAGTCTAAGCAAAAGCACTGAAAAAAAGATGAGGTGGGGGGGGGGAAACGAGGGGGAGAGGCTCAGAGAGATCTTGGTGAGTAAATGGAAGCTGGCAGAAGATTCAGATTGTAGCTGGGAGAAAGGATACAGAGACCCCCAGGCCTGGAGTATAGTCTGGAGCCCATTGAAGAAACATGGGAGAGGGTGGACAGGGTACTGTGACAGTGTATAATAGAATAGCCCAGTCTGAGCGTGGGAAATTCAGTATCAGGAAGAATAAGCTGGAGATTGTTAGGCAAAGTATGTGGCTCTGGGCAGGAGCAAAGGGAAAGAAAAGCTGCAGTTGGAGGCACTTTTGCACACAGGCCCTGAGGAGGGGGTGTGGTCCACTGTGAATTGGAGGGCTAATAGGAAGGGAGCCAGACACTCCATTTTGTGGTGTCTTGCAGAGTTTCCTTCAAGGGCAGAAAAGTGAGGGCTATGTTTGAGGCTTCCTCTGTGACAAGGGACTGCTGATATAGGTAAAAGCCACGAGAAGCTGGCAGCAGAGAAGAAGGCAGGGGGAAGGCAGGGGCATGCAGCTTTAGTGCCAGCCTGTCCTCAGTGACCATTTTATCTTTAGGATTAAGTAGTGGAAAGACAGGTAGTTCTAGATGTTTCTGCTTCTACCTTCTCCCAGGCAGCAAATGTGACAAGAGGGTAAAAGGTGTCACACTTCTTGTCACCTTTAGGGTCACATCAGGGAGAAAGTGTATTGGTAGGGTTAGAGCCTCCTCTGTGCCCTGATTCTAATGCTGCACAGGAAAGGAGACCTAGTGCCACTCTGAGCCATCAAGACCCTAGAACTGTAAGTTATACATAACTCCACAGACATCTGGAGTTTGTGTGGCTCCCCACAAGGGAAGCATACAAAGGATCTGTTTTATGGGAACAGCAGTGAGAATGACCTCCTTACCCACAGCTAGTCTAGGCCTAACCTTGTCCCACTGAGAAACAACCTCCACCCTACCAACAGCCTAAGTCTTTCCAGGAAGGAAATCATTGCCAGTGGTCACATAGTGATAACCTAGCCCATAACATACTATTTTTTTTTTTTTTTTGGTCAGTTGTGGGGCCTAGGCTCTTTTTGCTCAAGGCTAGAGCTCTACTACTTTGAGCCACAGCACTACTTCCAGTTTTCTGGTGGTTAATTGGAGATAAGAGTCTCACAGCACTTTCCTGCCTGGGCTGGCTTTGAACTGTGGTCCTCAGATCTCAGCCTCCTGAGTAGCTAGGCGTGAGTCACAAGCGCCCAGCAACATGCTTCTTTTTTTAAATCATTCTCCCCTTCCTGCCTCTAATGTGGGTGTCAGGTAATAACAACCCCAGAAAATCTGTTCAGGGGGCTTCTAAGGATGACCAAAGAACCTAACCACCTTCCACATCTTTTCTCCTTGTCACTTGCCCTAACACTCTTCGGCAGTTTTTTGGGCTGCTGGCCACTCCTGAGAAAGTTAGCTATGGTTCTGATTTTCCCTATGTGGCACTTAGTCCTTAGGGCAAGGGGTAAGGGTTATGATGTCCAGGAAAAGGCCAAAGAATTACAGGGTGACTAGACCCAGAAAGACACATAAGAGTCCTGAAGTAGAAAACCAGTGGAAGGTTCTTCACCCTAGGCATGACACTGAGAGAGAGAAGAAAACTGGCCTGGGGTGGAGACAATCCTTGGGGAAGTTCCGTGCCCAGAGGAAGGGTGAGGCCCTCAGAGAGGCCTGGACTCTCCCTCAAGGGATTTAATGCTGCCCACTACATTATCTCAACAACTCCTTCCTTGGTAGCCTGGATTTGTTAGGAGGGAATGCAAGGCTTTCTACCGAGAGCTGGAGCAAGTGGGAGAAAAACATTGGTGATGACACATACCAGATTCCATGAGAACCATTTGGTCTCCTCAGAGTCCTCCTGGCCCTGGGTGGCCCTTTGAGCTTCCTTCAGCTTTTTAGGAAAAAGAGGTTTCACAAATCCTACCAGGTAGTGTTTGATGGTCAGCCAGTTCTCGCTATGGGTCCCTCCAAGCCACACAGTGAGTCACAGGAAAGGGCAGGCTGTTAAAGTGGAGGAGCTGGGAGCAAAGCCCAGTTCAGATATAGGTAAACTCTTCACCAAGATCTCCCAGTATATAAGAGCCAGAGGAGTTTAGGTTTCCCACCAAGCTCAGTGAAGTACGCCTGCCATTCAGACTCCCCTCCTTGCCTGCTGGCTGGGGTGGGAGAAGCAGAACTCTCTGGAGCTCAGATTCAGATATTGGGGTTCATGGGCAGTCTAGTGACTACAGGAAGCTAAAAGAACAAAGCTCTGCTAAGGCTAGACACTGACAGTCACTCTGCTTCCCAGCTGACATCCCTGCATCCCTGTCCAAGCAACACCATTCCTTTGTATCTCCCATTCCCAAGTGGTTGGCTTAAGGGATTTAAGGTGACCTGGGCAGAATATCCCAGAACAGCCAAAGTGTTGAAGGGATAACACTTGAGCTACCTCACCTTGTGTCTGGGACAGAAAAGAGAGCATGTGCCTTTGTGAAGCCTGCTTTAGCCCTTGACTCCTTGTCACAGCGGAAAGAAAGAGTTGGCACCAAAGCCTTATACTTGGGAAGAGCACTGACCCAGCATCCCGGGTCTCTCGCAGCAGCTGATCTGGGACCCCCAGAAGCCCTCAAAAATAGACAGACCTCACCCTCCGCAGTGGACAGTGAACAGATGAGAGGAATCAGATGAGTGGAGACCCCTTGCAGTGGGATGCCAGGTTCAGTGGCTATCCAACCCCACTTTCGAAAATCACAGAGAGCTCAGCCTGGAGGTAAAAGCCTTGATCATAAACCCTTGCTATTTCTGGGCCTCAGTTTCCTTATCTATACAATTAGAGAGTAAAACGATATACTTGCTAAAGTATCTCCTGGACCTACATTTTCACAAATTCTGGGTTGGAACCCAAATGACTTGCCTTAGTAGCCCCCTGTTGGCAGGCAATAGGGCCTCTGCCTGGCACCGGGACCTCTGCCAAGGCTTGGCCCAGGACATGTCTTCTGTCTCATCCCTACTCCTGTGGGGAAAGTGGAGTGAGCCAAATCTGCAGAGGGGCAGGCTATGTCAGGACTCCAGGTCAGAGCCCAGCTAAAAGCTTTTGATTTCCCTAAGAGGCATCTGAGTCAGGCTGGCTATGCATTAATGGAAGGGACTCCCAGGGCAGGGCTGCCAGTAGGAGGAATATATAGGACGTGTATACAGGAGGATAATATTGAGGGGAGGATACTGAGGTATCATATACCCAAGCAGGCCATATTGGTACAAAAGGTGTCTTTATTGAGGTCTGGGTAAGAATTAGGCACTTGGCCAGAGCAGCAGCTTAAATATGAGGCAAGCAGGCAGGAATCAGCCATGCCTGGGACCAGGCTAGGGTGGTGAGGCTATAGGCAGAGACTGTTCCCCAACAGAGGTCAGGGGAGGCAAGAGTGGAAGAAGGGGACACAGAGTAGTCTGGGTCAGAGGCCTGGTGGACTGGCCCCATGGGGCTGGGCAGGAAGCTCTGGGTGGCAGGTCCAGCAGGGAGGAGACCAGGCTTTCTTGCTCCAAGTGCCCCTTTAAGCCCAGGTCTGAGCCTCTGGCGGGGGCAGAAGCACTGAAGACCTTCCTGGGGCTCACTTCTTCACCTTGGCATCGTAAGTGCCTGCGTTCTTGTAGGCACTCACATAGCCACTGTCGTCCAGGATGTCCTGCCGCCCGGCGATGCCCTTGCCCTTGCCGCTCTCATCAAAGCGCTCTTTGTGGGAGCCAGTGTACTTGCTGGTGTCAGTCAGCCGGTCCACAGCACCTCCTGTTTTTGCTTTCTGAATGGACAGAGTTTCCCCGAGGGCTTTGGGTGAGGGAGCCAAGCCCTTTCCCACCCCCAGCCAAGATTCCCCCGCGTCCCTCTCATTAACCATCAGAGATCCGTGGGACACTTACGGTAACACCCAAGTTGGCTGGTTCCTTGCCTGCCACCAGCTGGCAGATGGCATCAAAGGCCTCCTCCTTGCTCTTCCCCTTGAACCGCTTGGTTGCCAGCTCCTCTAGGGCCTTCTTGAACTCCTCATAGTTGATAACCCGAGCAGACTTCCCCCTGCCAGGCATATGGGCACCATAAGGCCAGTGCCCTTCTTGCTGGCCTCCCTGAATCCCTCCCTCAATTCCCCACCTGCGAACATGAGAAGCAGGGGCTGCCCAGGGCTCACTTGACTTTGGAGAAGACGATGTCAACATCAGTCCCTGTCACAGCTTTTCCATCAGCCACCTTGCAGTCTTTGCACAGCTTGGCCCAATTCTTGCCATTCATCTCTTGCCCACTGGCTTT